AAAAAGGCGAACTAAGAGAAGCGATGGAATTCCATCACTTTTGATACAAGACAATCCGTTAATCTTAGCAGAGAATGATGCCGAAAAGCTGAAGCTTTATCGGAATATTTTAGTAAAGTGTTTTCTATCGGTAATGAGGAACGACCAATGATTCATCGTGACCGTGACGGCTCGCTGATGGATCCTGTAGTCATTGAGAAAGATACTGTTTTAAGGCTACTTCAGCATCTTAAACCCGATACGTCCAGTGGTCCTGATTGTATTCATCCTAAGATTATGAAAGCCATACCAGATGTAACTGCTGAACCATAAGCGATACTGTTTGACATGTCTCTAAGGTAGTTCAGGCTGCCCTGAGACTGGAGACTATAATAAGTCCGGTTTATAAGGTTGGGAGTAGGGATTTGGTTAGTACCTACAGACCCGTTAGCTTAACCAGTGCAGTTGTAAAACTGATGGAAAAAATCACTCCGATATCTGTTATAAACTATGTTGAAGGGCATAATCTTTTCTCCAGGGAACAACATGGTTTTAGGAGAGGTCTATCATGCTTGACAAATCTCATTGCAAGAGAAGATTGGGCTGTTGCAAAAGATCGGAACATCTCTGTAGACGTGATCTATGAAGATCACGTCTAGGGAAGGCCTTCGATAAGGTCTTCTATTCGGGTTTTAAATTCAAACTGGAACGTTTTGGAATCCATTATACAGTCGTAGACTGGATAAATAACTCCATGACAGGAGACAAAGGGTAGGGGTTAACAGGGCTCTATCCTCGTGGGTACCTGTAAAAAGTGGGGTTCCCCTAGGTTCAATCCTAGGTCCTCTTCTCTTTTTACTTTATGTAAATGAATTGCCAACAGTAGCAAAATCACCCGTCATACTCTTCGCTGATGACATAAAGATTTGGAGACCCATACATAGTACGTTGGATAGAACGGTATTACAGGATGATCTTAGCTCATTGGTGGCATGGTTAGACAGGTGGTTACTAGAAGTAAATCCTAATGAGTGTAGTGGTGCAGTTAAATAACTCCGACGAATCGTATCACTATACACTGCGTGGATTCGTGCTACCCAATGTAGGGAAATATAAAGATTTAGGAGTCATAATAAGCAGTGATCTCAGAACCATTAGTCACTGTAAGACTGCTGTTGCTGTGGTGAATTATTGGAATTCTCTACTGGAATACGTAATATCAGCACCTTCTGTTGATATATTAAAAACGAGACTGGACCTCCACAGTATTACGAACTGCAAGGATTAATATAGGTCGATAGACCTCCTATCCTTATTACTGAAGACTGAAGACGACATCAGGAATTCCGCCACATTACTACGTCATCGTGATCCAATTCATATTCAAGGTTATTAAGATAACTACTCATTGAGGAGTTGCAAAGCAAGTTACGAAGATTAGCACAGTCTTGGTAAGTATTTGTACTGTGGCACATTTTACTCATGTAGTTCATGTGTATTCCGTAACGCTAAACGCTTGAAATGTAGTAAAATTGGACACATACAGGCAGTTTGTAAAACTGTCATTCGTTTCACTGTAAGTAGTGCTAAGCTTTGTAATTCCGATCCTATTAAGTTGGATGTTTCAAATGAATCATACTCTGATCAGATTTACGATATTATTGTACCAGATATGCGTTGTTCCCGTGATTCATGTATTTCTAATGAAATTATTTACAAATATATGAAAGCTATATCGAGTGCACCTAATCCTTATAAGAACTCTGATTTCATTTTATCAGATATCGTTTTTGCTAATGATTTATTTATTTCTAGTGAGACCTTAATTAAATGTGAGGAACAAGTTCTAAATGAGTTAAAATCTTATTACAGTTCTTTTGGTGTCGCATTAGATAATATTCGTCCTCACAAAGGACTTATCACTAATGATATTCTTAATGACTTTGACAAATATGTCTCTAATGAGTCGAATTCTAGTCCCATTTCTGATGTTATTGTATCAGATGTTGGATATTCTCACAACTAATTTGTGTCAAGTAGAATCCATAGTCCGTGATATGATAGATCAAAAGGAGTGGTCTTGTGTATTCCAACGTGAAAACCAAAAAGAATATGTATCATATTTTTACGCACATCGAAGTCACATTCTAAATTCCTAAAATTATATGTCAATGTGTATCCTCAAATACTCACGTATAATATTCGATGTGTGAGATATGAAACGATGCGAACAGGAAAATTGACATTGCCATACAAGGACAGTACATTATTTCGTAGGGGAGTGTAGCTTTACAATGTCTATGGTTCAAATTTTAGATATCAGTGGTGTCAGTACACAGCCGACATGGTGTTTGCATACAACTCCAGAACCCAGGTAAGTCCATTCCGATTTCATTTGTTAATTCTAATACTAATGAGTATATTCTAGATCATACAGAGTCTTTATCCAAAACACAGTCGGATAGACATATGATGAAACTAGACTAGACTGATGCATTTGTGATTTTGACATGATTTCAGGCGTCAGTAGTTTCCCCTACAAACCTATACGGGTTTCAACGGACTACAGTAAAGGAAATTGTTTCGGACGATTCTGCATAAATGGAAATTCTAGAAGGTCAATGGAAGAAGTAAGAGCGCTCCGGAGGTTGCCAAATTATCCATAAGAGCCCTCTGAGTACAGCTAAGCTGTAAGACAAATAGAAATGTGGCGGCAGAAACTGGTCGGCAAATATCAAAAATCAATAATTTTAATATAAATAAAAATAATATATTTGTAATATCCCAATGAGTAGAAAATTAGATACACAAAGAAACCTCCTAACAATCCTGTAGAATTGAACCAACTTCAAACTAAATCGGCAATAGCAGTTCATGCCATTTTCAACAACCACCAAATCGATTTTAAAAATATCAAAATATTGCAAAAAGGCTTTTCTTATTGCGCTTGCCAGGTATTTCAGTGTTTGCCACGTGTGACTACTGTTCGTTTGAGAACTGCAACGACCGAACTGCCAATATTTGATTTGAACGCAGAACTAACGATCCAAACTTTATTCGATTAAATCAGACTACGTTATTCTGTATAGCGTGCGAAGGGTTTTTGAGTTACTCGTATTATATTATATCAAAACACAAATCTGTGCTCAATTTAAACGGTTATAATTTAAGAAATAGAACAAATTGTATCAAAAATACAAAGCACAACAAACAGTACAGCCTGTGCTATAAAGTCAAAAATGTCTATGAAAAATTAGCGTGCTGAACAACAAAAGAAACAGTTAATACAATAGAGTTCACTACCTGTGAATCTATAAAAATATTCCCAGCAAGATGGGATCCCATATCTGTCTGCAGGGACTTCAGTTATCTTTCCAAGCAGAGAGTCAAAGGTTAACAGTCACACACTTAACCACTCTGTGACCTTGGGCCTAGTCAAACACCACCTTATTGTCAATAGTCCGGCAACATGCAACAGAAAAATTAGGTAACAAAAGGTAACCTTCTAATCAAGCTCACATAATAAAAGCATAGACGAGAAAGACTGAAAAACACAAAGGGTGGTTAAAAGAGATCTGAGCAAAGGTTAAAATACACGACAGGGAGAAGAAACAAATAAATGACAGTACTGTCCAACAAAAACTCTGTTGAGGGATTTTCGGCGTTTTAATTCCGTTACAGGTTGGTTGAATGTATAGCGACTAGCAGTGACAATGGTAAAAAGCAATGTGACTGTGTAAAGTTATATCAACCCATGTTGAGTTCTCCCGATAAGGTTTGTTACGTTTGAGGTTAGAGTATGTGGGGAATCCTAAAGACAATTGCCAGACCCGAATTCCATGTAAATGAACTGAAAAGGAAATTAGCACGACATACGTGTAATAAGAAAGTCGAGTCATGAGTCAACGTGTGAGACAACAGTGAATGTAAACCGGATAGCAAACATTAGTGAAAAAGGCAACCACCAGTGGGTATAGAAGGATCAGATAACATGACCAATATGTTAAGGAGTGGTGCGGAAGATATAGCATCTGGCGTTAAGTAACATGTTGAGTATGATATTACGACGAAGTATCTAAAATAAGCGAAGACAAATATTAATGCAGAATAATTTGAATTCATTATGTTTCGTGGTTTCTCGTCAGCTGCTTACAACCAAATATGTATCAGGATTTAACATTGAGATAAGAAATAGTATCGGAAAATTGTTATAAATGAATGACAAAGGCTATCAAAGGTAACTATATATATGTGTGTGTGCAAGAACACGTCAGAGTTTATTCAGTGTTAGAATTAAGGAAACATTAAGGATGGGTGGTGTAATAGTTGAGTGGAGTTCAGAGACAGATATTTATTCTGGCTTTATTTAAATTCATACAGGGAACTAATCGCATGACGAAGTATATATATTTGAGACAGATCGAGACTGTTTGTGTACACGTAGTACGTCTTTCTGTAGTGCTACAACGCATAAATACAAATGATTTCGGCCACAAACTAACGAGAGTGACAGAATATATGACTACTATTATGAAGTAACTACGAAATTTTATTAAGCATCAAAAATAAAGTATAAAATTACCTAATACAATCATAAAATCTTCCCAAATTACTTAAGCTCCCATGTAGTCGAGATTTCAGGTAGATATTCATTCGATATGATATAAGTCTAAGGGAATGTTTACGTGATACGAGGTATTGTTGTACAAATGTTTGGATTATCATAGCGTTGTAGACTGGACCAGTATAAGTCCAAAACAACCCAATCCGAATTCGTAGCATTGCCTGAATGAGTAACCTAAACGAAATCCAAGATTCCAGAAAATTTATGTCACAACCTCTTTGTAAACGTCTGACTGGATCGGGAGCAAGAAAGATACAAAAATAAACGTCACTGAGGAGCGTAACATGAAGGAAAAATGTAGAAACTACATGTGTGAAATTCTTTTAATGTTTGTTTTGACGAAATGGTCAAAAAGGATCCTATATATTGAAGAAGTACACATAAAAGCAAAGTGCTCCAACATTTGATGTTTTTGTTTAGGTGAGCCAGAGAGCCTTTTCGAGGTTTTTGGAAAGAGCGCTTAAATGTACAAGGCTGTTTAGTTTTGTATTATTGATGTTGACTGCTCAGAAATGTGCTTACTGCGATCCTGATTCTCCAAAGTTTCAGGATCTAAGTTGGATATTACTTTGTCGTTGCAATGAAAGTATTGATGAACGTGAGCCTGGATTACATCATATTTAAATTTTTAAGCATTGGAATGGCGTTGGTGTAAACCGGAATCTCCACTGCAGTCCTTCCAGCTGTCTGAAAATGATAAGACTGTTACATTTCATCCGACTATTAGTTGGGGCACAGCTGTTGCACGTGGAACTGCCCTACTAACGAATGGCCTTCACTATTGGGAACTTAAAGCTGTATCTCCACTTTATGGAACAGATGTGGTACGTTTTTAGGAATATTAAATCTGTTTGTCGCCACCGGTTGGTAGTGTAAGGGTTTAATCCCAGCTCGAGGGCTTTTGTCTTACTGATTTTCAAATCGTACAGGGTTTCGCCGCAGCGCAAATATACTTTAGTTACCTACTTTATGTATAGAACATGTATAGCATATTTGGTTTCACACTATATGATTTAGAATTTCAGGTGCTTCTGTTTCACACCAAGCAAATATATGTGCACTGCATTATTATTAAGTTCAGCTGCTTATCTGAAGCAGTTGCCGTGAAAGGTGGCACAATCTAATCGGGTTTCATGGTCATAAGGCTTTACAACGTAGTAAGTGTAGCCTATGTAGCTACTTCAATTTGATATCGCTACCCGGTTCACTGTGTTGAAAGATCAAAAGACGTCGAGTTTTAAGTTGAAAAGTCAAGAAATGGTCATTTGTACCTTGCACGGTATTAAATGTGAGTGGTTTTAAGATTCTTATTATAATGATGCTTTTATGTTTCTCACTAATTAAAGTGCTTGGGGACGTGTTAATCACCTGGCAAACGTGCTTCGAAATAAGTTTTGTGTTACATTTCATACTTATTAGATGGTTGGAATCGGTCGAACATGTGCAAAACTAGATCATTATTCACAAGAATTCCGTTCGGTACTTGGTATTGATTGTGATTCGTGGGGATTAAGTTATCGTGGTGCACTTATGCATGATGGTCAAACATATCCCTTGGGATCTTGCGCTTTCAAAAAGGGTAGTATAATTGGCTGTCTTCTCGATTTGTGGCATTTAAAGCTTTACTTCTTCGTTGATGGACAATTGAATCCGAATGCTTGTTTCAAGTAAGTTTTCTCAATACTTCAGTCTACTTGTAACCTAACGAAAAGTAATGTTCATCAGTGTTGCACTCGGCTCTTTTTATCTAATTCCATCAAAATTACCTTCCTAGATATGACCCTTCACCTAACTCTGCATAGGTTGGTCTTCTATTAGGAGGTTTACTTGTCGACATAGAACATGAGAATGACAGTTCTATTTGTTGCAGACGCCGATAAAATGTAGTCTTCTAATGTTCTTGAGCAACAGTGCAGTTTGGAATAGATTTTTATCCCTCTAGATGGAAAGTGTTGCTTCAGAACTGAAATACGTTAACCCCAAAGCTTCTATAGAGAGTAAAGTGGTTGAGTGTATTGATCACTGCACTTGCCGTTGAGATTTAATCAGTACTGATGGATTTGCCTGACGAAATTTCTATATGGACTCAGAAAGCTCAGTTGGTCTTTGGCGACTTGCGTCACTTGTGTCGTAGGTGACACCCATGTATCTTATTTTTTACTCCATAACCTTCGAACGGTCTGTTAAAATTGAAGACGAATAGACTATATATACGTTTAAAATTAATAAATATGCTCACAACTAGGCACCAAAATAGGTATACGTCACACCAATAAGGAAATAAAATCGTGAAGAGGTAGAGTAAGGAGGAGAATATAATTGAAACAAATCAATAAAAGTAAGCTAATTAGTGTAATATATGATAAAACAGTTCAGTTAAATAAACCGGGAGGAATTTAAACTAAGGGAGATCCCTCTATATTTATGAAAACTGTATAAGAAAACTGCAGTAAAACCGCTACTGTCTCACCATCCAGAAGTTCCAAATCTTGGGATCGTGACGGACCAACGGATTCCAGTCTCATAGTTTTCTTATCAGAAGGGTTTTGTGGATATCATAGTAATTTCAATGGTTGAGATCATGAGTCAATTGAAGCTAGACCACCATGGAAAACCTGGAGGCACTGGACAGCCGTTTCGTCCTATTGTAGGACTCCTCAGCAGTGCGCATCCACGGACCCGCCTCGCGAGATTTGGACTCGGACCCACAATAGGACGAAACGGTCGTCCAGTGCTTACAGGTTTTCCATGGCGATCTGGCTTCAATTGACTTATGATCTCAACCATTGAAATTATAGTTTTCTTACAAATCCTTACACCACCTCATAGACTGCTCACTTCGTTCCAGGATTGGCGATTAATGTACGTTGTGAAAATCGCTGGGATGACATTTTTAACACACATCGAAGCCACTTAATGAAACCACTTGAGTTATCGTCACTACATCCAAACTCACATCACCGAACCTCAGAATTAATAATATGGTGTTGCCAATGGATTTTGGCAGTTCTTCGGAGATAACGATGATGGGACAAAAAGAGTCATTGAACATTTTCAATTTGGAAAGGTCAGGTTTCACAGATATAAAGCAAAGCTGTCGTCACTTGCATGTTGTAAACCCTACCTTTTACTGTCATTAAATCAGGATGGCTCCAAAAGTTGTCCAGATTGTCACAACCCGCTTCGGTTTTTACTATACGTAGACTGATCTCATCAACAGGGACATCACCAGGACTCACTTAACTACCGAGATATAAGAATATCTTGACTAATTTTAAAGGCTATCTACAAAGGGTTTATGCATACACAAGTTCTTGCCAGGCTTGTAAGAGTAATTTACATTTGAAGGTGTGAAGTACGTGCCATACCTGCAGTCACTGATTGGCAACTAATTAAACGCGATATACATAGTTTGATTGTCACAGCACAAGACGATATCGCTCGAGTACTTCAGATCGAAAAGTCTCTGCAGGTAACAGATATACTCCATCACAACTGCTTCAAGAATATCATCAACAATAGAGTTGGCGAGAATTGATGAGATTGGGAAACCTGTAATCCCTTTTCTGGAATAGAATGATTAGAGGTGGCTGTATCCCTTCACTGTGGCTAAAGTGTTTGTGTGCAGAGCCTCATGACTCTAAGTGCAACACTAACACCAACCAAATCAGACTCAGATTCCACAGGATCGGTGAATAAGTGCACATAAAACAAGCTTTTCAAATTGACGGATAAAGACCGAATTCGTAATCACTCACTAGTTGTGAATACAGGTCTCAGTGATATCAAGACTTTCTAAGGGCAACCGACTAACTGTTGTGTAATCTGCATCGATGTACGGACGTTGAAGGGGAAAGACAATTTGAGTCTGAGTTCATAAGTCTCAATGTTACGTCAAATTAGGTGCGATATATATTTTCATGGCATACAGAAGACGAACTTGTCTGTGATTCCATGTGTTTCGGTTATGTAAACATTCGAATCTCAACAATCATGTCCCAGGTTTGAACTTGTTTTTCGGTAACTATGTGGTGCAATTAATCCTTACACAATATCTGTGGTTCAGAGCCGAGGTCAAAATCATGTACCTAGTATTTAACTTGAACAAAGCTTAAGATATGTTTTTAGCGTATCATGTCATTCCACAGTTACTACAATTCATTCAAATAGTCAATTACTGGGGACTCAATGCTACAGAATAAAGTCTGTCCACAATACTGAATTATCGGCAATCAATTAGTATGAAGAATAAAAGTAGTAACCCTTAGAATAGGTTTCTTCTAGTAAAATGAAAATAGTATACAAAGTAATGGACATGGTTAGAAGTCATTTAAGACATAAACGTTTGAAAAATGTGGGTTTTGTAGACCATGCTCACGCCAGCGCAATTATGACCTGATTATTCAGCCTAAGTTTCACTGTTCAATCCCTTTCACAGACTGGAATGGTTAGCACTCTTTCAGGAAGTCGAGTTCGGGAAATCATCAATGTCCTAGTATTGTCAGGAATAGTGAGATGAACGAAACAAGCATGATTTGATCAAAAGAGAATAATGTTTTGTCAAAGTTCTGCTGCCGAAAGAAGAAATGTTTAATATATATATCCTTTTCAGACGTCACTTATCCAGAAACACCTTTCCCTGTGGGATGCTGTCCTAAAGAAACGTGCTGGATGGTATTTCCCATCTGTCCTCGATGAAAGTATTACTGAGAATGCCGATTATGCGAATGGAACGCACTCAACCGTTTAAATCCTTATTAAAACGCAGCTATTTAGACAAATATACTAGTTGTATTTAGTCTTTTCACTCTTCCCGTATAGTACCATTAGTAAATATCCACAGATTATTTCTAATAACCTTGTTGAAATCTACATATAACACCTTTCTTCGGGTATTTTTGTACTATTGCTAAATTATTAAGATATTGGAACTACCAATATATCGTGTGACTTTAGGTTGGAGCAATTACAGAAGTCAGGTGATCTTTTATTTTGCAAGTACATCTACCTGAATTAGAATTAATAAGACTTCAGAAATTCTTTAACTTGTTATTCCTTTATTAGAAATGAAAATCACCAAAGAAACTTAAACATTTAATGTCATTGTATCCATAAGATGGAATATTTTCTGTAGTAGTGATAGCAAAACCTAGTGATCGGCAAATGGCCTGTTGATGAGACTAACAATCATTAGGTTACATCAGCGGGTTATAGAGTTAGTAAAATAAAGTGAATAAGCCTTCAAATAGAATAATCTACACCACGCAAAGTATGTCTTTTTTTAAAACAACGATTTGAGTGTATGATTAGTAGTGGTACTATAAGTAAGCCCATTAAATTTTTTTACCTACCTGCCGTGATTTAGATAATTAATCCACCATGTAAAAGTATGTGTGAGTCTAATTGGACTCATGTCTGCACCACAATCTTTGTCTATCCTCCCATTGGTTATTAACACACAATTTACAACTTTACCCACATATTAATTAAGTCTTAAAATACGTATACGTGCTTCGAATTTCTACTCATTGACTCACTTTTCGGTGCGCTTGCCTCTCTCGTGTCTGTGGGTGTTATTAATTAGTAACACTAAACATCTCAACAACTAGTGTTCTCGCTTTTGAAAATTCTCGAGTAAATTCATAGTGCTATTATGGGAATTGGGCTGCTGAAATAGAGTTAACGGGATAACGTATTTTGGAGTCAAATAGAGAGGAATTAATCTCTACATTACCTCTGAATGAAAGGTAAATCACTTCTAGTGGGTGACCATTATTCCTTGTTATTCAGTCTGTCTTGATATTCTCATTACATTTTTAAAGTCAGTATGTGGTTACATGTCATTTAAATGTTACTTATTGATTGGAAAAAAGATCTTAATTAAAACTGGATTAATTAATAATTCTTGTATATGTGTCACTAACCCATGTAATCCACTCAATCGGATATCTCATTCTTATTTATGTATGCTTTCTTACATAATCCATTTAATGATTAAAACCTGAGTAGTCTGCCACGTGATAATTATTATCCAATGGTATCTTCAACTACGTTACGAAGTGGTTTTCGTTTGATTCGTGCAAAATCTTACCCAATCACATTGCAATATTTAATATGCCAGTATTTTCTCCACCAGCAACAAAAGCAACCATCGTTTCATGCCTGTTTCAATTTGACCACTTTAAAATTTCCTGCTGGTCTTCGGGTAAGTGTTGTAACTATCATTTTAATTGTTCTTGTTTGTATTTGGATTGATTACCGAAAAATAATTTGTTTCAGCCGAATCCTACATCAGGCAACGTCTTCCATCGAGGGAGATGGTAGTTAGACACACTAACACATGTCCCAACTACCTAAGTTGATAATGATTTCCTACCTCACCGATTGATTTACCATCAGTACGTAGTACCCTGTCCTTAACTCAGTCATTGCTTACTCACTGGTTTCAAAATACACGGTCGATACTTTAAAGAAATTTATGGTCGAATTCTAGTAACCTACAAATATCCTCTATTCTTAATGGGTATGTTCCATACCCATGAAGTTGAACAAAGCAAACTGCTACGCAGTAAACTCGCCTCTTGATTGACAGGCGAGTGTCTCGCCTACACCACAAGTGACGCAAGTTGGCAAAAGCCAGAATTGATGAGACTCCAAAAATAAGTGGAGTTGATACGTTCAACTCTTTTATTCTTTATCACTAATTCAGGCTCTGACGCAAGCCAATCCTGAAGTAACATTTTGCGTTCGGGGGAAAGAATTACATCCCAAATACGCTTTCATCGTGGCTTAAGGTAGTCAGAAGACTGGATTTTTGGCACTTTGATCAAACAAAATTATATCATGTGTTTACTCTAAATCAACAGGTCAATCCCCTGGTGGATCAAACCATAGAAAAACAGGATGGTGAGGATGTTTATGATAACAGTAAATAAAAATGGGTAAGACGGACAACCCTGACGAACACCACTTGAATTTATCAATTCTGATGACAGTTCTTCATGAGCTCTGACTCCACCATTAGTATTCGGGTTGATAGCCTGTACAAGGTTAATGTATTCATTCAGTACTCCTTTTAATAACAGGCATGGCAAAAGAATCCATCAGCAGAGCCAAATTCCACCTTCAGGTTACAAGTATGAACATATTGTTAGTCAACGGCTACCATGGTACTGCATCTCCTAACGTTGCTCCACTGCCCTGTGGATTAGACCTTTAGATCAAAGGCTCTGGATGTGACCCCCTAAGAAAACCTCCCGCTTCGGTTTGGGCACCAAGGCAGTGTCCCAGCCCTCACGCAAATAGAAAAATTATTCTCACTTCAGTTCGCATTCAGACAAATCGAATTCACAATCATTTAGTAACATACTTTTTTTACCGTTATATTCTATGTCATTATCTATTCCTTTTTATTCTCATTTTGTGTACTTTATTTTTCAACTTATACAGGAGCTTGCCTATGGTTAAAACCCTGTCCTATATAAAGGATCTCAGGTCACTGAATGTTTCAATGTTGAGTGATACCACCGACTACGAATACTGAACTAGCCTTTCTGAAACCACATGTGCCATTCAAATTGGCTTGCTTAAACGTTCGCACACTAATGCAGATCGGGCAACAGACAGGGTTGGTCATGTCTTTAGAAAGTCTCAACATCAATGTCTGTTGTCTACCCAAGACCTGTATTCAAGATTCTGGTGAAGCACTACACATTCCGTCTCCATTTATCACTGCCAAAGACTTGTACGTGCTTCTGTCCGGAAACTCTGTGGCATCTTCGTTTGGTTTTTCTAGAATTCGTGTCTTAATAAGCGCTGGAACAGAGCCGGCATTATTCGACTAGATCCCCATCGATAGTCAATTATGCGCTGTTAGGATAGGAAACTCCATCAAAGGCAGAAATCGGTATGAGAAAAGATGTCTTTTCGTTATCTTCTGCTTATGTCCCGACGGATCGCAGCCCCGATGCAATCAAGAAGGAGTTCTAAAGGAAATCAAATGACTTCAGGAAATCGCATTCGGCAGATATTGTAGTGCTAGCTGGAGATTTAAATACTCGTAGGAGAGTCACTTAGGTGACTGTGTGCAGGAGTGTTAATCCTTTTGGAATACTTATCTGGACTCTAATCATGCTCTCATCTGCGCTAATCTTATCTTACTCTTCAGTGGCCAACAAATTCGTCGTCCTCAATGAATGACTACAGAAAATTGGTTGCAGCCAAATATCAAATCGGGCTAAGTTCAAGGTTAGTTATCAGCCACCGAAAAGTATAGATGGGCATTGGCCGCAGTTTCATGACGACATGAAAATGGCGAGTAAAGTTGCTTGCTGCTTCGCGAAACTTCCCGCTTATAACCAACTCACCCTAGTCACTGGCACCAAGAAATCTGGTGTGAGTGAAGCAATTTGCGAAGCTAACATGATGCTAATCAATAACATCTACCGACGTCTTGAACGATAGTATGCTGCCCCCCCGCAACATCGATCAACCTATCCTGCTTTCCATGGCATGTGACGACTGATCCACTTAAGGAGGCGGAAGTCCTCAAGGAACCCCAACTCCAGTAGCGCTACAAATTCTCATGGCCATATGGCTGACTTACCTTCAGCCCTTTTTAAAGATGTTGGAGGCATTCTGGTTAAAGAACTGACTGCGTTGTTGACAAAGGTCCGGCGGTTAGAGGGTGTTTCATCATTGTGGAATGAGTCAATAGTTGTTCCTATTTTTAAAAAGGGTTCACGTCATTTCTGTAACAACTATCGGGGGATAAGTCTACTTTCGATTGCGTCCAAACTACTAGCTTCCGTCTTAGTTTATAGATTGTCCAAAATTCGATAAAGATTGACTCGCGAGCAGTAGGCTCGTTTTCGTTATGGTCGATGATGATTGGTCATATCTTCACTATCTGCCAAATGTTAGAACATTGTCATACTTATTACAGACCAACCATAATAGTGTTTTTCGACAGTACGGTTGCCTTCGATTCGTTGGACAAGACTTTTCCAGGATTGTCCATTAAAGAAGGGTGTGCCTGAGACGTTTATTTGCAGCTTGATAGCCCTACAACCACTTCAGATAGTGAGGGCATACAACCACGTCTCACCACTGTCTCATTCAAGCAGTGGGGCTAGGTAGGGTTGCCCAATCCCACCATTCCTCTTTAACTTTGCCATCGATGACGATCTGGAAACAGTTCTGATGGATGTAGGTAATAGTGTTATGAATCTGTTGCCTGTGGAAAAACTTTGGGACCATGAGTGTGCGGATGATATTTTATGACAATACCCGAACCATGCAATAGGCTCCTAATCCGTGTCCGTAAGTATGGCATATGCTTTACACCTAAGTGCAAAGTACTTTTACAAGATCGGCAGGACCCCAAAACTACACTCACCCTGGGTGGTGAGCAGATAGAAATAGTTGGGCAGTTCGTGTGTCTGGGTAGTTGCTTATGTGCTGGCGTGAGATTAATTTACGTATGATGAAAGCCAGAGCGAGTTATGCCAACCTAGATCATCTTTGACGCCTTCGTGATGTTAGTCTGACTGTCAACGGTTGCAGCTACGACGCGTCGGTGAGAACAGTTCTGCCCTATCTTTTTAAGACCTGGCCTCTCCGAGTTGGGGGTTTTAACTGACTCTTTGTGTTTGATCGTCGTTGTCCTCAGAGGACTGTTGAAATGTACTGGCAACCCTATTTGTAACGCAGAGGTTTGGCGTTGTGTGTTTGGGTGCAGGGACGATATTTCAATTAGTGTTGCCATCTTGAAACACCGAATTCGGTGGCTCGGGCGTCTTACGAATGTCGGTTCGGCGAACTTCACATCGCACACTATTTGCCGATGCTGGGACTGGTTGGAAAAATTGGAGAGGTGGTCAGTGTATTACACGATGTAGTGGTATGAAGGAGAGCCGTACAAGAATGGCATCTGTTTGTCCTTCGCGAATACCTAGTTGAAGTTCTAGAGATGGTGTAACAGTGTCTTGAGACGTTATCAGATCTGTTATTATTTTCTATTTATGAACCGATATAACCGGCTTATGGGATATCGATTTACATGCTCGAACGTCTAGCACTTCTGCTCATGTGACCAAACTACAGTAGGCGGGACCAAATTGAAATCCAGAACCTCTAATGCTTTAACCATCAAGCCACTGGTTTTCCTTTTTAAAGTTCAAAAGTATAGACAGACTAAAATGTTTTATTTTATAGTAACTCAATTATGATGTAAAGTGGATTGTGGTGTAATACCGAAATTTTACACTTGCTACTGTAGCCCTGTTGTACAAAATATAATTCTCTTTTTGCACCGCAAGCAGTCTACAGCATTTTGCAATGGTTTAAAGCTATTAAAACTCGTTTTATGGTTTTCTCTTCTGTATGCAGGAAATTTTAAGCAACACTTTACCTCACTCACTATTCTTCAATCAAATCCAACAATTATCCTTCATTTATAATGATGTAAACAAAGCGCCATCTCTTCTGCCTGTTGACTCACCTGATCCTTTCTTATGGATTAGTTTTTCTCCATCTGATTCAAATGATTTAAACAGTAGTACAAAGGGCGATATGGATAAATTTGACATTGAACCATGCTCTCCGGAAGAGTTCGATTTGTATTCGGATGGTTTGTTGAATGAACGTGAGAGATCAGTAGACAAAGAAGATGATAGTTCTGATGAAAATCATCCAACTTGTGATGGAATAAATGAGACCAATTTTTATATGTGAGTTTTTTTGCATGATATATGAAATTATTAAGCAAGAGCGTATTACTGAAGTTGTAGTTGATTATCTTGAAGTTCATGGTTTGCTTTTCTTCGATATACAAGTAGCTTATAACATGTTTTTCAGTCAGTCCTAATCAACGTAAGACCTGAGACGAATGTATACGATATCACCACAACGAATTGAAATTAGTAAGGTGAGTATCAAAAGTGTCGAAACAACAGTAGTATCAGTAGTTGTAGGAAAATCTAGAAATATAGAATTTGTTTCGAAAACAAGTAATGAAGTACGAGAATAAAATGAATGAAATATCAAAACCTATGTGTTAGAGATAAATAATAATGAATAAACATATGCATGTGAGACTTATTTTAAGCATTTCATGACACAGCCTCTACGCTGACACAGTGATCGAACCTGTTTATCTCTGTAAACCTTTCTGGTTTCATTCTCTGAGTTCTTACTACATCACTGAAGCCTGCCGAGAAGTGATTAGCTCAATCGCAGCATATAAATTTTGTGTACATTAGGTCACACTCCTCCTGTATCTAAACACTACTATAATAATTCTGAAGACTAATTAGAAATAATTATCGTTGAGACGGTCGTGTTCCATACTAGTAAAAAATATTTTATTCACAATAGATCTTTTTAAGGAACCATCGAGGTTTTGGAAACGAACATGACATTGTTCTTTCGATCTATATCTTCCTTGAAACCATTGTTCATTATCTCGGTTTACAATTAAGTGGCATTCCCGGTATGTTGAAGCAGCCCTTGTATTTCTCTAAAGCCAAAGAGTATATCAAATCATAGTGATTCATTGTATATTGTAATCATGTATATTTTCAATCGGTTGTCAAGTGCTGGATTTTTGAAATTAGAATTTATACTTTGATGCGATTGTAATTGATTGGTCTTTTCGTGTGAACTAATTTATTTAATTTCTCCTTTTCCCTACTGTAGTTTATGAAATACCCTGTGCTTTTGAGAAATCTAATAAATGAATATGATTATCGTGACAACTTATATGTCACAGTCATAAATTAGGCACCATAAAATTATACATCACGTATTAACTAATCGGTCTTTTCATTTACCAATACCATATTTTTACGTCGTATGAAACGAGACTGGTATGGACTTATCATCGATTGAATTGTCCATCCCTCAAAATATTAAACTTGAAATACTCTCAACAGTCTCCATATCTAGCTAGCTGAAAAATGCATTCGTTGCTTACTCCTCACGCAATTCAGTGAGAGCAGCCTGAGTAACATCAGTAACCCTCACACGTAATATGTGACTTGAAACTTAGTACATGTATCTGTACTAAGTTACTTAGTTCCATTAGCATACGTTACTTTTGTCCTTGTTATTAATATTCAGTGAGTGTACATTATTTTATCCAAAAAATAAAAAAAAGCACCGGAGTTACTGTAACTTCATAAAATTCAGAACCTCAATATATGACGATGACTGTTTCTGATATTGAGTAAGTGATTTTAAGTGTAAGCTGATTTTTAACTCGAGACGATTCCATATTTTTTTAAATTTTACACTGCTTTCTTTCCCTACTATATAAAACTAGATCTACAACTACTGAAAGCAGTCAAAAAAGGCGTTATCAAGCTGCCATGTCCGCAAATTGTGTGTTAGACAGACTATTTGTTTTGGCTGCAAAATCTACCAAAAAGGACGATAAGTCTAGTGAACCAACATCCCATCTGATGCGTAATATGAACTCTGTTGTTTATGACCATGCACTCTGGGGTGAATTTGACGAATAAGAAAAACTGTCAAAGTCATAAATTTTCAGTGTTACAATCGATCTCTTAATATCTTTACTGAAAAATGAATTTGTATATAAAGAGGTTCACAGTGTTGCTTGTATATTCTTCAATCTAATCTTTCTTTTATTAATATAAAACTTTCGATATTACGGTCTTGTTTTTATGTGGTATTTAGTATGTTTTCCTGTGAACTGCTTGTTGGTTGTTTAATTTAAAATAGTAGAAGTACATTGAGTCTCTTGAATATTTTGATTAAATTAAAGGAAAGGGCTCTGTCCTTAATTCTTATGAAAATATCGATTCTTAAATCCTTTAGCTATGATCAGAACAATTTATTCCAATCTAATTATTATGAGTTCGACCCTCTTATCGAAAGCAGTTGGGAATCGCGAATAAGAATATTCAATCATATAATTGATGCTTATAATGAGAACCTTGCTTGTGATTGCTCTCCTGACAATCGTCAGAATGTCGGAATTTCATCTGTGTGTTAACTCTATGATGCTAAAGTAGAGTACTTTCTGAATGAGTAATTCTTGACATTATTCATAATTTTCGTTTTTTTATCACTCGTCTTTGACTATTAGTGATAGCCATTAAATTTTTTTAAATATCTGTTCATTGTAAAGAAGTTGGAAGTGGTAAAGGACATAACACTTAGAAGCCAGTATTGTAGAGATCATATGCTGCATAATTTTATTTATTTATCGTTTATGACATATTGATCTCTTTGTTCGTTAGTGATTTTCGCTCTTTCACAGGTATAGTGACACCGACAGTGCTTTTTAAGTTTTTCTAAATCACTGGGAATCCCAGAAACATTGTTTCAATGTATTATATGAGTCCTTTTATCTGTCGTTTGTTTCGTTATAATTAAAAAAAATTTCCCATTTCGTTTTCAGCTTGCTAAGTGTTTATCAAAGGCAGGAAATTGTATAAATTAATTCTATGTCCTTTTACGATTCAGAAACATATACCAATGACAATCAAAATTCGCGTTCTGAATCCAGTCGATCTTCTCGAGAATCACCCGTTCAAAATGTGAATCTAGACAATGAGATAAGTACTACCACTAGTCTACCTAGTAACTTGTTTTGGCGCAGTCGAAGTCAACCTCCGTTCGGTGAAAATTCAAACCACGTGAATACACCATGTGGACCAAATTTTTTAAATACCGAGTCCAATCAACAAGTGTCTGTAATAAACCATGCTTACCCGGGTCGCACATTAGGGAGTTCGCACCAAACAGTTGGAGCTGGTTTGTCTGGTAGTACCCGCTCCGTTGGTCTAGGTAGCACAAACAGAACTTCTGTGGTTGGAACACCTCGAAGCACTCATCAGCGCCGTTTGCTTCGAATGGCTCGTTTCACACAAAATCGTGATAGTATTCCTGGCTTATTGAGCAGTAGCAGTAGTAATAGTAGTCTTCTTGGTCGATATCGCACAATAAGTGGAGTCAACTCACGTCCTCAATCCATTGATCCTTCTGTTTGTGAATCTCATCTGTCTCGTTTATTGAGATTCTCTTCACTTCGATTTGACGATAGTGTGTCAGACGAGGCTGAAACATCAGTAAAGAGACAGGAATCACCTTTAGGTGACTGTTCAAATGATGAATTCGCTGAGCTTCCGGTTAGATTGGGTCCGACTCATTACAATTTTCTCCCAGCTAACAGATCATCAGAGCAAATCCCACTTTCACACTCACTACCTTCATCAAATAGCCCTTCACAGGAACCTCCTCAGGAACAACCACCACTCAATCCCGGTAACACCCATACAAACAACTTATCTCCCATTCCCAATTCATTAATACCAACGAATTCTGATTGTGATAATGACAACCAAGATGGTAACTGCTCAGCTTCTGCTACTAGTACTGATCTAACAAGTATCTGGATCCCACCAACTCCAAAACAATGTGTTGTGAAATTCCCCAAGCGTGGAGATCTGGACCATCGAAGAGGTGTAACTGGAGCGAGTTCGGTATGTTGAAATTCTCTGACGATCTGATTATTGGTTTGGATATTTCTGTTCTGTTTTGTAAATAAATTATTTATTGCTTTAAATGGTATTAATCGCCGCGGTAGTTTCTTACCACAGGTTGTAATACTCAACGATTTCGGTAGTTCTTTTTAGTGTGTTTGGGCCTTGGTGTTTTATATATATATATATATATATATATATATATATATATATATATATATATATATATATATATATATATATATATATATATATATATATGCAGAATTTCAACGTTAATAAAATTAAGGAATTTATGTTTCTTCTGTCTAGCAGTACTTATGCATTAACTGCTAATGTTATTGTGGAAATAATGTTAATTTTTGCACCTGTTTAGGTGATTTTCGGATTTGTATACTTTTTTATTCGGTCAAGTTATTTTTCTACACAAGAAATTAGAACAGAATTAATTTTAGACGAATATTGCTCAGTCAATCAGTCAGTAACAACGTAGAACTTCGTACATACGTACATCAATTCGAGTTGCCACACCACATTAGCACAGAGATGTAGTGGCCGATTCAAATCTCGTAGTGGTAGAGGTAATAAGAGTATAAGCAGTAATCGGGAAAATTAGTGTTTGGAGATGTTATTTAAAGAGTATAATACAGTGAAATAAATTTGGGAAGAGAAAAAAGAGACAAGGAGGAATCAGGAGATTTAAAATTTGGGAGAACACAACGAGTGGATGCACCTGTGCCATTGCAAACGATTTTGAGCCATGTCATTCAGGGTCTCTAACCATTGGTTGCTATCATCTCGCGGTCCCCAACCAGGTAGTCTACACCTACCAACATGACTCAGTCCACTTTTCAGTGACTTTTTGGACTTGTGCCATGTTGGGCATACGTAACACATGTCCAAGCCATCTCAACTGATGAAGTTTCATTACGTCATCAATTGATTTGCCATCCTTACATAGTACCCGTTTCCTATCAACTGCGTTACTTACTCGATGGTCCCATGATATACGAGCAATGTTTCGAAGACACCTATGATCAAATACTACTAAACTATGGATATCCTCTACTCTTACCGGCCATGTTTCACTGCCATAAAGTAGGACGGAACGAACTGCTGCGCATTAAACCCGTCCTTTGGTTGATAGACGCCATAAATGACGCAAGTTGGTAAAAGCTAGTCGAGCCTTCTGTATCCGTGCTGAGATTTCGTCACACACCAGACCACAAGGGTTGATGAGACTTCCAAGATAAGTGAAGCGATCGACACGCTCAATTACTTCACTCCCTATCATTAGTTCGGGTGTCAATGCAACCCAATCCTGAAGCAACATTTTGCACTTCGAGGGAGAGAATCGCATCCCGAACATGCTTGCATTGTTGCTTACAGTGGTCAGAAGACTCTGCATTTTGTCAGCGTCTTCACCAAATAGAACTGTCATCAGCAGATTCCAAGTCAACAAGTGAACCTCCCGGTAGAAGTTCAACCCCTGGAAATCTAGACGAGGAAAGTGTTATCTCTAAAAGTACGTTGACGACAAAGACAAGAATGGAGAGAGTGGGCAGCCCTGACGAACACCATTTGAGGTGATCAATTCTGATGACAGTTCGCCATAAGTTCTCACTCGACCAGTTGTGTTCGAGTAGAGAGCCTTTATAAGGTTAATGTACTTCTTTGGTACTTCTTTCAGTGACAAACACTGCCATAGAACCTTACGATCGACAGAGTCGAATGCTGCTTTAAGGTCGAGAAGTACTACGATTGTGGGGCGTCTGAACGTGTGTCTGTGTTCTAGAACCTGACGTAGTGTGAATATGTGGTCTATACAACCACATCCAGGTCGAAAACCAGCCTGATTTTCTCTAGTCTGCTCTTCACGAGCTTTAGTTAGGCGTCGAAGTATTATTGAAGCTAATATTTTAGACACTATATTAGTCAAATTGATTCCTCTGTGATTGTCACAAGAGGACTTTTGTCCTTTCTTATAGACTGGCACAATCAGTGATTGAAACCAGTCAGATGAGATTACGTCCAGTCCCCAAATTCTACCTAAGACCTCAGTTAATCTCACTGCTAATACTGAACCACCATCCTTAAAAATCTCAGGAGTAAACCTGCAGGGCCTGCTCAATATTTGAATGAATAGTTTGATAAAAATTGGGCACTAAGTATATAGAAGACATTTTTTGTAACAATTATCTTTGAAATAGTTCTAGCGATTGAAATATAAGTAGTTCCAGCGTTTCATCCAAAAAACTTGTTTGAACAAATTGTAAGTGGACAAAGCAATCGCTAGACTTGAAGATATATTTTTTATTTGCACCCAAAGTTATATTGGGTCATAAATACATTGCGTGGTGTAGATATAAAGAATCTTTTGATTGCAATCCTTATTATTTTAATTGAATAATTATTCAGCAATTAAATCTTTGAAGGAAAACGTGATATATAATCTTTTCGTATTCGATGTTGATTGACGTATCTCGAACACCACTTTCATTGTAACAGCCTCCACAAACTTCTGGATAATCGTTTTCACACTTATGATTCACTCATTTTGTTATTACTTTAACTCATACGCACATACAAATTTGTAATTAACTGTAGATCCACACTTTGATGGATTGGTTATAAATATTATCACCACTTGTATCATCTGATCCATATAATTCCACTAATTACAGCAATCGTTCTGGATTAATATATCTACCTGTAGTTGTAAATTCTGATGAGAAATTACTAAGAATATATATTTGCTTACATCGTTTTCTTTATTATCTGTTATGTTGAAACTAGGTAATCACCATGAATGTCAGACTTTAATTTTGTTATTTTCAAGTTTCTCCTCATATTAACTCTGTGCATCATTATTAATGTAGCAACTTGAGATGGTCTCTATCGATAATTTATTTAGGAAATAATCGTAACGTTCTTAATCTGTTTTATTGTATATGTAGTTACTCACAGCTCTTCTAGTGAATCAATTTTTTATTTAATCTCTTTAGAGTTATCAACCTGAAGCCGATCATGATTTTTATCAAAATTCTTGTTTTGTATCGAAGTCACCGCATAGAAGTAGCGATCATGTATATAGGACGTTTGCTAAACTTAATGAACTTCGTTGGTGAGTTTCCCTTATTTGAATGCTGTTTATTTATTCGCATTATAAAGTAATAGTGTGTACAAAGTTTCTTTTTTATTGTTGATTTCAGATTATGACTTGGGTTCTACAAACCCATGCAGTAAGGTAAATATATAAACATTTAGACACATCAGTTGATTTGATAGGGATGTCTCATTTAAACGCAAGCTGTTATAAAATTACACACAAACCCGCAGTATATTTATTCTGTAAATCACTGCAATTATACATACGTGTGAATAAATTTTTCACGAAGAAATCCCTTCTTGTAAATGAATATCACTAAAAGCCAAATAGATTTATTTAGAAAACGCATTTATTTCCCTTATTCTTAGCTCATGCTGTAACTGCTTACGTCATTTAAAATGCACATCAATCATTTTTAAAAGAAATTCTCTTGATACTTATTTTTGGGGGTAGTTTTACGTCATAAAACTGAATTATCTAAGTTTCTTGTTTTTTTCTGTTTTATTTGCACTCTGATATACGTTCAGCTTACTTTTTAATTATCAGGTGCGTTTTCAGCTGAACAAATATTCATTACGAAATGAACCTAAAAAAGTTTAACACTGTCGAATGTAACATTTTGTTAAATATAAAAGTTTTAAATAAATTTTCCATCTTTTAAAGTGTGTATTTATGAGGATCCAATTTTATTCATGTGTCGGCGTTCATAATCATTTTGGCTCCTCTATGGTAATAATGTTAGTACCTTCGGTTATTTATTTGCTTTCTAGTACAGGGGCAGAAGTTGATTTATTTCTTGTCACTGTTTATGTTTGGCCAATACGCCTGAATTCTGATCACCTGCATGTCTTTTGTAACCCTTTCTGCTAATTCATTCCCTTCTTATTGTCTTGTAGCCATGGTTTATTTTGTGATGTGGTCTTACAAGCTGGTTCAGTGAAGGTACCTGCTCATCGAAATGTATTGGCAGCCAGTTCCCAGTATTTTCATGCTATGTTTACTGGATCAATGACTGAAGCTCGTTCTCCCTGTGTGGAATTTCGTGGGATAGAAAGTTCGGCTCTCATTCAGCTTGTCAACTTTATTTATACAAATGGTATGTGGTTATTGTTCTCAGTTAATTCGACTTGTTTAATTTTCACCACAACTATGTTCCCAATGTTAAACGGCATCAAAATATCATATGTCATTTTATCTTGATATCCCAAGAAACGATTTGACACTTACTTTTTTTCACTATGTAGTATTTCTTAACATATATTTGGATTCGGTTGTCAATATAGATACTAATCGTCATGTATAATTGAAGAAACTTGACATATTTTTCTTGGTATAATAGGTAGTACATATTTAATATGGAGTGTTATGTCTAGATGATGTAGTTCATTTTACTCCGTAAGTTTTTTTGAAGAGCATTATATTCACGTCGATGAATCTATTCTGGTTGCTTCTTGTTATAGAATTCAAGATTTTATTTATGCGAATGAAGTAATGCATCGATGTACAAGGAAATTTTAATTTTACAAATTGTAGTGTGACTGGTTGAAGTTATTGAGAGAAGTAGTCGCTTTTGTTTCATTTCTAATTATCTCTTCATATATTAAATATTTAATTAAAATCATGAATCGATCAATGTTAGACTACCATTGAAAACCTGGAAGCGCTGGACATCTGTTTCGTCTTACTATTGGACTTCTCAGCAGTGCGCATCTACAATTATTATTATTATTTATTTATTTGAACACATAAATATTGGTACAAGAAAGCGCCAATATATATGCGCCACACTAACTCATATTCAGTGGTAACATACAATTTTCAACCGGACAGTGACTCGAGAACGTTTAGATACAGTCGAATTTCCACCAAAGACGAGCCGCTGTATAAATATAAAAGAGGGAGAATAATGTGGTCAGTCAGTCAGCTACAACGTAGGACCAGGCACATATGTGCATCGGTCCAGGTTGCCATACCGCATCAGCACAACAAGATGAACACCGGATTCATTGCAGTGGTTAGGTCAAAGGTAGTAATATGTAAGAGAAAGATTGCATATAGAGATATAGTACAAGAAGAAAGAATTGGTTCGTAGAAAGAAAGATATGAGGTGATTTTAATCTCTTAGTTTAAGGGAAGACAGGGAGTGTATACACCGACGCTATTGTGATCGATTCTGAGCCGAGTCACCAAGAGTCTCCAACCATTGGTTACGAAAGTCACGCGGATCCCAACCAAGTAGTCTGCATCTACCAACATGGCTCAGACTAGAAGTTAGTGACTTCAAGCACTGATGCCACGTTTTGGTTTGGCCGCCCCTAACTTTCTTCCAACCATTTCCAATACTGGATAGCATTGCACGTCGTGGTAATCGGTGTTCAGGCATACGTAACACGTGGCCCAACCATCTCAGTCGATGAAGATTCATAACCTCATCAACTGATTTACCATCATTCCCTAATACCCTGCGTCTAACCTCACTATTACTTACCCGGTGATCCCAGCAGACGCCAGCAATATTTCTAAGGCATCTGTGGTCAAATACTAATAGCTTACGAGTGTCTTCTACTCTTAATGGCCATGTTTCGCTGCCGTAAATTAAAACGGAACGGACTGCTGCGCAGTATACTCGTCCTTTTATTGATAGACGGATATCTCGCCTTCGCCATAGGTGACGCAAGTTGGCAAAAGCCAATCGAGCCTTTCGAATCCGTGCTGAGATTTCGTCCGATACCAACCCATTAGGGCTGATCAGACTTCCAAGATAAGTGAAGTTGTCGACGCGTTCGACTACTTCACTCCCTATCCTTAGTTCAGGTGTTAACGCAGACCAGTCCTGAAGCAACAACTTGCATTTAGAGGGAGAGAAGCGCATTCCAAACATCCTGGCATTGTTGCTCAGTGCTACCAGAAGACTCTGCATTTTGTCCGTGTCTTCACGAAACAGGACTATGTCATCTGCGTATTCTAAGTCGATAAGTGGACCTCCTGGTAGGAGATCAATACCCGAGAACTCAGTCGACGAAAAAGTTATTTCCATCAGTAGATCTATGATGAAGTTAAACAAAAATGGAGAAAGTGGACAGCCTTGACGGACACCACTTGAGGTTGCAAAAGTAGATGACAGTTCGCCATAAGCTCTGACTCGACTAGTAGTGTTCGAGTAAAGAGCCTTTACAAGGTTTATGTACTTCTGGGGTACGCCTTTCAATGACAGACACTGCCACAGAATCTCGCGGTCTACAGAGTCAAATGCTGCTTTTAAGTCGAGAAAGACCACCATCGTCGGACGCCGATAAGTATGCTTGTGTTCTAGAATCTGACGAATGGTGAATATGTGGTCGATGCAGCCACGACCAGGTCTAAAGCCAGCTTGGTTCTCTCGTGTTTGCAGTTCACGAGTCTTAGTTAGGCGTCTGATAATTATCGAGGCTAGTATTTTAGATATTATATTAGTTAAACTAATCCCTCTGTGGTTGTCACAGGATGATTTTGACCCTTTCTTATATATTGGGACGATAAGTGATTGTGACCAGTTAGATGGAATAACGTCTAACTCCCAGATCTTAGCTAAAATATTAGTCAACCTAATCGCTAAAATTGGACCACCATCCTTAAAGACCTCTGGAGCCAATCCAACTGGACCACCTGCCCTTCCTCGTTTCAGATTAACTATAGCCTTTTGAACTTCAGCAAGAGTTGGAGGACCTACTTCAATGTTCCATTCACACTGTCTGGGAATGGAGGGTAGTTGTAGAGTAGCTGAAGGCCAGCTGGACTGTTCTCTGAAATGTTCCGCCCATCGTTCTAAACGCCTGGACTGGGAGCAGATGAGAGTATCGTCTTTTTCCGATATAATCTCACTTACACTTGACTTATTAATCCCAGTTTCTTTTATTAGTCTGTAAAGCTGTCTTGTGTTCCCTATAGTCGCCGCCTTTTCCATCTCTTTTGCTTTCGTTGCCCACCACTGCTCACGGTCGTTTCTTAGACTTTTTCTTAACCTAGATCTGATTTGTTGTCGCTCTTTATCATGTTCGGAACCTGATGGGACGAGTTTGCGAGAATCCATCAGTGTGATAGACTTTGAAGAAATCCACTGGTTCTTTGAAACTCTGTGGTTTAAGTCGCTAATAGATGTCACTGCTGTTTCCACAGCTGCCTGTATTTCATTCCAAGCAACATCTGGGTCAGCCTCGTCTTCAGAACTACCTAATCGTGACCTCAGTTGTTCCTGGAACCTACTTTTGGTTTCCTCGCTACTCAGTTCGGCTCTTATGGGTCTTTTTACTGTGGCTTTTTTGCGTCCAGTGAGGCGCAAGCAGATGCGTGCCCGTATTAGGGCGTGGTCGGAGTCCAAGCAGGTACTCCAGAATGAGTGACAATCTTGTACCGACCCTCTCGAACGATGACTGATGTCAATATGGTCTATTTGAGTCCATCGTTGGTTTGGTGTAGGGGGTCGCCATGTTAGACGATGTCTCTCCTTATGCTTAAAATTTGTGTTTGCTAAAAATAAGCGATTGTCTGAACACAGTTGCAGCAGACGGTCACCATTATCTGTTCGCTGTGCCGGAATGCTAAAATATCCACCTAAATGCCTTTCTGTTTGGTTTAAGCTACCTATCTGAGCATTAAAGTCACCCCGTACGAGTATTATGTCAGAGCGTTTAGCTTTCTGAAGAAGTTCGGAAAGCTTTCTGTAAAATTCATCTTTCACATCATCTGAGCGGCAGTCAGTGGGAGCGTAGGCAGAAACGACGAAAAGGCAACGACGTGTGTCCCTATCCTTCCGAGTTTTTACGGAGCCGTTTAGCCGAACAGCACATAGACGACTGTTGACGGGGATCCATTCTAGCAGTGATTGTTCCGCCCTCATGCTTAGTGCTATGCCTACACCTGCCAGTCCACGAGAACTGGCCATCACGTCACCAGATACACGTAGGGTGTATCTCGTTGGCTCTCCGTTTTGCTGAGGTAGGTCAAGTGAATGACCACACTGGAATCCTGTGTGCGTGTTTCGGAGACACAGCATACATCAATGGAAAGAGACTCTAGGGTTTTAGCCAAGGAAGCCTGCTGACCGATCTGACATAGAGTGCGTACGTTGAAAGCTCCAATGTGTAGTTTGGAGCGAGGTTTCAGTAGACCTGGGACAGAGTTTTGAGCACTAGAATCGTTGGCTATGGTGACACTTGAGGAGGAAGCCGAAGGAGGGAGTTTAGGGTTGAAAGTCGATGTAGGAGGAATAATAGGAATTGAAGAGGAAGGTTGATTATGAATACAGTGGTCTTGGGTGCTGTTAGAGGTATGAGGGCGGTTATCACTTCCCGGTTGCCCACACCGTGGAGGGGTTCTTCTGGAGGTACCTGAAAAGGGAATTGGATTAGAGGCGGTCTCAGTGACCTGAGAGCGTGACCGCAGTGCCCAAGGGACAACTGCTTGAGGCCGTCGCGCACGGCCTTTTCGTGGGAGGTTTTTGACGTGTTAGCTCCGTTCTTCAAAGGGCCTTACCGCCGGAGACGGAAATCCGTGAGGTAAGGTGAGGTGTGACATTTTTAGGGTCGACTTTTTGTAACCCCACCCCTCCTTGTGGGAAGGCAGCATCGCTATCATGCTGGTTGTCTGAAGGAAACACCTTACTGCTGTCACACCTCTGTACAGTCAGCAGTACGACTTCGCCTTCGGACCTTGGGTTTGTTGCTTTTAGTCTTACCGCTCTTCAACCGACCTGTCTGACATGGTAGGACCTTGAGGAACGGTTGTTCCTGCCAGTATAGCTCGGTTGCTTCATCACGATAGGCAAGCCCGACCACCACGTCAAGGTAGCAACAACGGTCGGGTAAATAATAATAATAATAATAATAATAATAATAATAATAATAATAATAATAATAATAATAATAATAATAATAATAATAATAATTTGAATCATTTGATTGTTAGTTGAAGCAAGTAAAGTAGTTTCCATAATTATATGGAGTTCATCATATTTGTATGTGGGCTGTGATACTGCCCGGGTGCCCAGACTGAAGCGGGTGGTTATCTTAGGTGGCCACACCCCGAGCCTTTTACCTAAAGGTCTAACCCACAAGGCAGAGGAGCATCGTAAGGAGATGCAGTCCCATGGTATCCGGTGACCAGCAATTGGTTCATACGCCATTTGTTCCCTCAGGATACTGGTGCCCATGTGCACCATTGGTTTGGGATCCGGTTAAAGCGCCGGATATTCGCTTTTCGTCCTCTCATTTTCGTAATTAACAACCCCGCCAGGAGAAGGCAATGAGTAAGACTTCCCTGGCAGAGGCTGTATATGCGTGGCCGTGTGAGAGTATTTCGAGAGGGAGAGCGGACTCTCCCTACTCTCGACCGTACCAGGGCATTTGGGGGCAGCGTCTACAATCCCGCATGTGAAACAGAGGAAGATGATCGCGCAGTGTCATAGATTGATTGAAGTCAGACAGTAACACCGTCAGATATTGGCTCAGTGATTTAGAGGTTAAGTGGTATTAGATTTAATTCCTGCGTGCAGGATCGTAGATGTGCACTGTCGAGGCGTCCCATATTAGAACGAAACGGCCGTTCAGTGCTTCCAGGTTTTCAATGGTAGTCTAACATAGATTGGTTCATGATTTCAATGAAATTCAACGATCTCCACAACCCCTTTCGGATAATAGGTATTTATCGATACGTCTAATAAATGTGAAAATGTAGGTAATGTTATTTTTCCTTGTTATATCCCCACTTTTCTTAAATGATCGATTGCTTAGTTTGACCATGTGAGTGCTCAAAGTTTAGTAAGTTTTATTGTATAGTCAGATTATTCGAAATAGTATTGTTTCAATAGGCTGACTATCTAAATGACTTACTAGTATTATTTATTTTTCTTCTGAAATGTCTATTATTCACCACGCTGTATTTGTTACATCACTTTGATAATTATCATTTACATTATCATCCATATGCATGAAATTTATCTATATTCTACACGCTATGTTTCATAGAAATCAATGTAAATGAAGAGAATGTCCAAACACTTTTACCGGCTGCTAATTTATTACAGTTAACAGCTGTTCGTGATATTTGTTGTGAATTTCTTCAATTTCAATTGCATCCTAGTAATTGTTTAGGAATTCAAAGATTTGCTGATCTACATAATTGTCAAGATTTACTTGATTTCACTAGACGCTTTACAGAACAACATTTCGGGTAAATTTAATTTTCCTTTGTTTTTTTGGAAATTAAAGTAATTAGTTGTTTCATTGTGTAATTACATTTACTTATTGTTAATTTGTCTCTTATTTTCAATTCATCAACTGGTGTTGGATTTTTTGAAGTAGTTTTCATCATAGATTAGCATCAACTAGAAAACTATTATAAACTATGAAGCACTACATCACTGATTCATTCATGTTTAACACTACTCAATATCTCACTGCCTTGCGAAGTCGTTACATATGGATCACATAAATAGTACTAGTCTAGTACGGCAGTTAACGACGTAATGAGATGTGAAGGAATAACGTTTTCATCGGTTTGTAACACCGCGTGCGATTAGAAAGATAAGACTGATCTACTACAACATACCTTGTGCTATTTCAGAGAAATGAAATAATACTATACTCTGCTTGCCTGCATGTATGGCTGGATGTTGTGAAAAATTTAAAGCTATAAAATGATAATCGATTGTAAAAGATAAGCAGTAGTTTATGAAAATGTGCTTTCTGAGCTAAACTTTTTTCTAACACTAAACTAATTTGTGGTATATTAAACACTTATCATTTCAGCTTATCACATTTCTCATTTTTTGTGCAACTTAATAGAATACATTTCATTTATTTTCTGTTCAAGTGAGCTATTAAAACAAGATGATGAATTTGTAAAATTGAGTTCAGATCAACTCATGGAATTAATCTCTAGTGACAGATTAGCTGTTTCTGAAGATCAAGTTTTTGAAGCTGTTCTTCGATGGATTGCACACAACCCATCTAAACGACAAAAAGAAGCTCAAAATCTTTGTTCACACGTTCGATTCGCGTTACTTCCACGAGATTATTTAGTACGCCTAAGTCAATCAGATAATTTCCTGACTGTGAATCCATGGTGTAAAGACTATTTAATTGAAGCTCTCAGCTACCATTTACTACCATGGGATCAAAAATTGCGTATGGCTTCTGAGCGTACAAAACCGCGTACTCCTGTTGGTTTACCGAAAGTAAGTACCTTGATTTTAGTGGGTTTATAACTGGCGTATCAGAACGTTCTGGTTTAGATGATTTCTCTACGTATTTTCAAAATATAATATTTGAAATCGCTTAGCATTTTGTATATGTTTTCTTGCCAACTTAAATAGTTTGTGTTTTTTAATTTGATTTTCAGAAATGTGTTTGCTTTAACATTTACTAAATTTAGTTTGATGCGCTTTTAAAACAAATGTTATTCAGATTATGGGGAATCGTTGACATTCATGTCAATTTACTGTGCCAAAACTTCATCTCTTAACGTGTTATCTAAACACTGCTTATCTTATGAACTATAGAGTTATTCCGTTTTTGATGAAGTGGTTTCCAGAAGTCTTGTACATAGATATATAAAATTTGCTTAACTGACAGCGAAACGATAGAGATTTCACTGTGATGACAAAAGTTTTTATAAAACTTTGACCCGACCTACCTTTGGTTTTTGGTATTCAACGTTTGATTTGGAATCATCAGTAGTTTATTAGTTATATGTTTTTATAATTGCTTTTGAGTCTCACTTTTCGGATGAAGATTAACGATGCATAATTGTATCCTCATTTAACCCCTACGATGATTGTCTCCAACTTATAATTCTTTCACCCTGACCATAAAACTAAATCCTGGATGGGCAAATAAATCGAATTCATTAACTTCTCATTCCTGCTCGGTTTAGTTAGAACTTGTGGTATTGTAGTAAGTTCGAACAAACTAATTTAACTATAAATTTCACATCCATAAATCATTTCACTATATGTAGAATATGACAATCATACCAGCTTCGTTGTTTAGTCTTTAAAAAAAAGTTGTCATCTACTTATTTTATGACATGTATCCTTGATCCGTCCAATACTAAACGATCCAAATGCCTGTACCAGTTTCGTAATTGTTTTTTATTTTCTTAATTTAAATAATCTTCCTGTATGATTTCCTTATCTTTTACATTATTGGTTTCTAAAAGGGTCGCGAGGTCAAGTAGATTTCATATGTTAAATTCATGTTTTTATTTCACTTATTGTTTTACTTAACGGTCACTGTCAACAGAACTTGCTTTAGTAACTTTACTCATATAAATATTTTACTAACACAACAATTCTCTTGATATACTTTACATTGTTTTGTAAGGTTTACGCCGACATCATCCTGCTTAATTACAACGTACAATAAAAATCTCTTTATCGGACTAGAGTTTCATTCTTTATTTCACTCTCACTTAGATTCTACTTGTTATTGGTGGACAAGCTCCTAAAGCTATTCGTTCTGTGGAATGCTTCGAGTTTCAAGGAGGTTCTTGGACTTCATTATCTAGTGATTTTGTGCAAAGGGATAACTCTTCATCGTCCACCAGTCAACTTGTGTGTAATCCATCAGCATCTCAATCTACATCAAATAGCTGTGCCAATTCAGTGATTCCTAATGTTAACTGTAATAGTGATAGTATTTGTAATTTGATTGTATCTGATCTTCCAAGTAGACGTTGCCGTACTGGTGTGGCTGTTCTAGGTGGGTTGATTTATGTGGTTGGAGGGTTTAACGGCGCTTTACGTGTGCGTTCAGTTGAAGTGTACGATCTTTTACGCAACACATGGCATTCTGGACCGAATATGGAATGTAGGCGCGCTACTCTGGGTGTTGCTGTTTTAAATGGTTTAATCTATGCAGTGGGCGGTTTTGATGGGACTGTCGGTAAGATCATCGGAATTTGTTACCATGATTTGTAACACATGTGTATAAAAAAATTTGAACTTTTCCCCCGGAATGTTTGCTAATATTACAATGCTACAAGCTTTTATAGAGTTGATTCCTTTATTCATCGTCACATAAATGAATCTAGTGCTTGTTTTACTTTATGAGAACATGATAACTGTAGTTTAATAGCTTCATGTTGTATTTTGATGACTGTTCATTGTTTTTATTTAAGTATTAATAGACCTTGGATCCTCCGTTTTACATCTGGTTAAGTGTGATACTGTTATCAAGTTAGCACACTATGGACATTAATAGATTGGTTCTGTATTCTTACATTTTTGTGGGAACACACTAACCATCATATTATAGTATACATTTTATGTCTGTTCACGGTTTCAATTCCAATATTTTGTTTAGTGAAATAACATCCTAGAATTTGTGATGAAAAATCCATACCATTTACGCTTTTCTTTAAAATCCTATTTTCAGCACTTTTGGTATCAGGTAAATAATTCATGAGTTCGTTATGTGTAGACATCCCATACGTAGAAACGGTTAGAAGAAATCTGCAATTGATGTATTCTTGTTTAATTTAGTGTTTAGGCTCAAATATCTAAAACGAATTTAACAATTTACTGACTGAAGTCTTTACATTTCTTTTCGGGTTCTTAAGTTATTGTTGAGAATTAATAATAGATACTTTTTTTCTCATATCAGAAGATTCTTGACTAATTCATTGCTGCCGACAGTAAACTGTGCAATTTTTGCAAAACTAACTCTAGATTCCTTCTTAATTTCAATGTGTGTTTATGTATAGTCGTGTTTTCGGTCTTTAAACTCCTTAAAAATTGTACCAGGTCTTAATTCGGCCGAAGTTTTGGATATTTGGTCTGGTAGTTGGCGACCTATTCCATCTATGACATATCAGAGATCATCAGTAGGAGTCGGCGCTTTAGATGGTAAATTGTATGCTGTTGGTGGGTATGATGGAACAGTTCGTCGTTGTCTTTCTAGTGTAGAATGTTATGATCCTGTCAGTGATTCCTGGTCCCTGGTTTCGGAAATGACATGCAGGTAAACCGTTTTGACCGTGCTTTTTACAATTTATAAGATTTGGAAAGCCTCAGGTTTTATGGTAATGTATGCTAGCTTTCTGGGGCTTAAGGACTATATATTTAATAGTATGTTAGCGAGATATAGATTATATTAAATCACGTTCCGTTCAGGGTTGTATTAGGACACACAGATTAGCTATTTCTTAGCCAATCAGCCCTATCGGATACTTGGAGAAGACTCTAGAATCTTCCTGCGCAAAGATTATAAATATACTAAGGTTTTTCTTATATTGATTCCTACTTCCATTCAACTTCGTTTATGTTATTTAGTTACGTTCCTGTTTAACCGTGTTCTGATTTGGGACTTTTCCAGTGAAGTAGTATCCAAGATTACTACGCAATGAGATTAAAACAATTAGTCCCTTTGATAAATTTCGATAAACTACGTCTTCTCATTGCATTATCGCAATAAGATTAGCTGGGTCATGATAAGAGAATTTATTTCAACGTTTATAGTATTAGCCAATAGGGTTTGTGGATATTGTTGAATTTCCATTTTTTTTATCAAGAAATCACTAAAATGGTTGTTCAGTCTTTCCTCCATTCTGGTGATTTCTTGATGTATTGATCATATCTTCACCGCCATACTTATCAAATGCCAACAATCGTAGTGTTTCTTGACATTAGGGCTGCCTTCGATTCGTTGGATAGGACTGTTCTCGGGATTGTCTATTGAATAAGGGTGTGCCTGAGAAGTTTATTAACATCTTAAAGGCCCTACATACAAACACCTCAGGCAGAGTAAGGGCACACAACCACCTCTCTCCATTATCCCATTCGAGTAGTGGGGTTAGACAGGGTTGCCCACTCTCACCATTCCTCTTCAACTTTGCCATCGACGACATTCTGGAAACAGCTCTGATAAATGTAAGTAATGGCGGTGTGGATCTGTTGCCTGGAGAAAGACTTCTCGACCTTGAGTATGCGGATGATATTGTCTTACTGTGCGAAAATACCCAAGCCATGCAATCCGCACTTAATCAGTTGGCAATCAGTGTCCGTAGGTATGGTATGTGCTTTGCACCTTCGAACTGCAAAGTACTTCTACAAGACTGGCAGGATTTCAATCCTGTACTCACCCTGGATTGTGAGCACATAGACCTAGTCGAGAAGTTCGTGTATCTGGGTAGCTGCATAAGTGCTGGTGGGGGTGTGAGTGATGAGATCAATGCACGTATAGTGAAAGCCAGAGCGGCTTATGCCAATCTGGGCCATCTTTGGCGCCTTCGTGATGTTAGTCTGGCTGTAAAAGGTCGGATCTACAACGCGTCGGTGAGAGCAGTTTTGCTCTATGCTTGTGAAACCTGGCCTCCTCGAGTTGAGGATGTTAGACGACTCTCTGTGTTCGATCATCGCTGTCAGTGGCAACACCATGTCAGTAATGCAGAGCTTCGGCATCGTGTGTTCGGGTACAGAGACGATAATTCAATTGGTGTCACCATCTTGAAACACCGACTTTGGTGGCTTGGACATGTTCTACGAATGTCGTTCCAGAGAATTCCACGTCGTGCATTATTTGCCGACTCTGGGACTGGTTGGAAAAAGCAGAGAGGTGGTCAGTGTATGACATGGTGTCATGGTATGAAAGAAAGCTGCAAAGGGCTGGCTCCTGTTGGTTCTTCACGACTCCCTGACTGGGGTCCTAGAGATGGTGCTACACAGTGGCTAGAGACGTTATCAGATATGGCTCAGAATAGAAGCCAGTGGCGATCCTGCTGTAACCTTCTTTTACTTTCTTCATAAAAAGTGGTTGCTTCTTCCTTAACTGAAAGATTTCTTCTGATTATACCTTTATGTTCCCCCATTATTATTATTAGTATTATTCTCTTTTTCTTTCACGCTCCTTACTTTTTTTCCTAGTCTTTAAATTCTCATTGTTTTGTGTAGCGCATATATATTTGGTGCCCTCTTGTACCAATGTATTCAAATAAATAAATAATAGAAAATAGGAGTGCACATCTACAAACCCACCAGGGATTGATTACAACATCGTTTTCTTCGAAACTAAACAGGTAGCTCTTGAAGTTGGTTTTAAGAAATAGATTTAAACCCACTATATTGGTTTCAGTATTGCGGTGGATTAATAAAGGAAATCTTATTAGGTATGTTAAATATCTACTCATTTTTTCCACATACTTGAATGGGAACATAAATATAAGGCCGAAGCATGAGTTAAAGCGATGTAACTATTTCGTTTCTAATGATAGACCATTCATTATTGCTTTGTCATTTTTATTAGTAGTATTAGCGATTTCAGATTTTTTAAAATCTCAATTATCATTTAATATCATTTTCATTTATTAGACGAAGTGGACCTTCTGTTTGTGAATTAAACAACCGTCTGTATGCTGTTGGTGGTCATGATGGACCAACTGTACAAACTTCAGGCGAAGTGTTTTCTCCAGAGACAGGGACTTGGCAACGTATCGCGGATTTAAATGTCAAACGTAGAAATGCAGGTAAGAAATAAGTATTGAACAATAATTATTTCTGAATTTATACGGTAGTGAATAAATAATTCTAGCTATAAGTTGAGTAGGTACATCATTAAATTTTTGGATTTTAAAAAGTTTTTTTAGTTGAATTGACGATGTTGATATTTTCCTGTTTTCACTGATCTCTAAGTGTGTCACATTTTTACTTAGTGTATGCAACGATATCCTATGCTCTTGACGGGGTACAAATATACTTTATTTAGTTATTGCAATATGAGTTACATTAACGAACTCAATTACTATATAATGCTAAGAAATGGGACGGTTGTCGGATCAAACTTAATAGCTATAATGCTACATAGTAATCAAGTCCACGTTTAAGTATTCAACTTTCTATCACATTTGTTTTCTCCGAGGGTGGTCTAACATTGATCGGTTCATGATTTTAATCAAACCAAAGTGGTTAGAATGTGTTTTTAATCTCCCATCCACTGCCTCAAAATCGATTGTTTTAACCTGTAAACGGCTGTTTCTCGGAAATATGTTACTGTAATGAGTTTAGTAATGTTTGTTATATAGCATGGCAAAATCACAATTTATTTTCCACTTAATAAATTAACAACAGCTTATCTATTATTACTATAGAATGCGGCGTATATTCAAATAGCCAATGACTAGAAGAATTCTGAAGTTTACTTACGAGGAAATTTAATGTTTCTATATCATCTAACAGACTATGAATTTTTAGAAGAGAAAATGGTGGATTTTAGAGCATACTGAAAGTCTTTTAGAGGTTCGTTTGCCTTACGAGTAAAAAAGGAGTATGTCTATTTCCTGGAGAACTTATGTAAGAAGGAGTTTTGGAGTATGTTTTTTCACACTGCTGTATCGGTCGTAGAAATTACCAATTATCCCTATGTATACATGCTTTCTGGCTGATTGAATTTGTTTGTTGAGATGTTAGATAGTTCCGTTATTTCAAACCATGGTGTAAAATAGATGATGATCAGAAAGTGGATTTTCATTGACAACTGAGCTGTTTATTTTGGACCACTTAGCTTCATTAAGTATCACTATCAACAGTAATACTCACACTAGTGTGATAATATTCCTGGGATTCAAAGATATGTCGATTGTGATATTTTGGGTCTAACCGGTTCACACTTAATGATCTACTGGACAAGTTAATTATATCAGTGCTATTTTAAATAACAGTAAGAGAAAGTGCATTGCAGGGCAATTACATTTTATTATGTAATGTAACATGTGTAAAAATGGATTCGAAATTGAACATACAACAAATAGTATGTCAGTATTCAATAAAGTAGAAATTTCAAGTGTAGAAAATCAAGATCGATTTTGAGTGACTATTCGAAATATCTGTTTCATAATACTTCCCACTCTGTCCATTTAGAAAATTAAGGGTATTTTAGTCACAATATGCATCATTTTATTTGTTAGCTGTGTTTACAATGAGATGTTGAAATTTAAAATTATTATCAGTGGGATAGGATATTTCATTGTTTACTTGTGTTTCATGAACATGTATTAATTGGTTTTACTCTGAATACCAAATGCTATCTGCATATATTATTCATTATGTTCCCAATAAATTACTAACCATATATGTAAATGTAACATGTGTTCTTTATAAAGCTCTTCCGATTTTATATCAATTTAGTGAATTATAGGAGCTTCATCTGGATTATTAACAACTCGGAAAGTTTAGGGTGCCTGACTTCCAATAATTGGAACGCTTATTCTAACCCGGTCTCTAATTTTTGTGTTTCGACAACTGAACGGTATTGTTACCTCCCAAACAGGCTTAACTTTGTTACCGAGGTTTTGTTTGTTCTTAATTTCGGACCATCCGAGTAACCACGATATACTGTGAAGGTTAAATTTCAACAATAATCATGTCTAAATTCCTCACATATCATCATTCTAGGCAACTTACTAGTCCAGTTTTCTTGTTCCTATTCCTAATTAAGTAAATTCAGGTATACGTCAATTAAAATGTAAAGAATTCATAGGAAATTTATCGGTCAATAATATGATATTCTGTAATCCTGAAAAAATTCTCAAAATATTTTTTTCCTTCCAAGGTCTAGTAGCACACGACGGTTTTTTATATATTATTGGTGGTGAAGATGGTGAGAATAATTTGACCAGTATAGAAAAATATGATCCTACTGCAAATACATGGTCAATACTTCCAAGCCATTTAACAACTGGTCGAAGCTACGCTGGTGTGGCCATTATTGAACGGAGTTTTATCTAAATGTACACTATGTGTAGGCTGTACATGTGCACGCTCGTGCGTGCCGGTGTACAAATGCATAATTATATAATACGGAAGTGGTTTGTAGTTGAATTATTATTACTAGTATTATTATTATTTCCAGTTACTTACTTTTACTTCGAGTTTTATTTTCTTACGATGTATTACTACTAATTTTAAGTTTTGGGGTTATTTTATTTATGTATTTATTCTTAATGCCTTTATTGTTTATTACGTTCTAGTTTGATTCGTTCTACAATTTGTTTTGATTCATATTTTGTTTCATGGTATATAAACAACTGTAGCATTGATAATTCATTTTGCTATGCATTCATCCCTTCATTTTGAAGTGTTTATTTACTTGGATATTTTGTTGGCATATTTTTATATGTGTTAGTATGAATTTTCTTATTAATCACTGTGCCAGCGTATGTGCGCGTACACACTATAAAATTAATATCTTGTCTTATTTACTTCGACATGTGTTCCCCTTCAATACAGCTTATTCCGTCCAGAATAGAAAGTGATGATGAGTCATAAAACAATCAAAACCTATTACTGTGCTTTTGTTTTAGAAACTTTCAATCTACCTACCGAAGTTGCTTGATCAAGTTTCAGATTCATTCAGACTGGCTTGTTTGGTTGGTTTTCACTAGTGCTCCCTATTCTCAACGTAGTAGTTGTATTGATGTGTCCCAGAGATGTTATATGCATTTGAACAATGTAGGTATTAATACGAGTTATCGCTGTATCTACTAAGTAGTATCTTTAATGATAGGCGTCCAATATATCTTAATCTATGAATGTGTTTAAATGGCTACGATGAAAACATCAAGATATATATGGGTTTAATTTCTACCACCACAAAATGGTGAACTGAAGCTGCAACTTTGTGGGTTGAAGTTGGCGATACAGTGATTAAGGTTAGTACAATCAACTTAATATATCTTGAAATTGGTGGCGATAACGTATTTATTTATTTGAATAGTTAACATAAATTTACCCATCACTCGAAATCTTCCTTTCACTGTGAGTTATCTTCTGTTGGTTCTGTTTATTTTCTTAACTTTGAGGTGCTTGGTCTTATTAATCGTTGTATCTCTTTGCGTCCACCTAATTAGTTGTATGAGGGCTTCGGGACTCCATTTATTCCTCTTTAACTGTTTCAGTTTGTTTTCGGTGTGTGTTACTAATAGAAGCACAAAAATGCTTGGATCTATATTTGGTTGAGATGCATTGGTTTTTTAATATTCTCTTCATCAATTCAGGTTGTTAATTCTAACTGCGATTTATATTTCCATCGTTTCAGTTTTTTAAGTGTGTTCAACGTACATCAATAAAATGTGTTATATCTGCTGATCAGAACTTCTTTTCAAGATCTAGATTGCTTTAAATTTGCATCAATAAGGTTGTTTGATCCAATTTTCTTGGGTTTCTCCTATAATTCCATAAGCCATTAACCCTGAATATTCTCTTAAATTCAAAATAATTGGTCATAGTTTACATATTTTGGTTGTCACGCCTTTAAGAAACTTTTAAAATATATGTATGTTAACCTCTTACGATACGGAGAATATAAGAATGCCTAACAATCACGATTAGTGCGACAGTATGATTCAGATAGAATAGTAGAGGACGAGAAACTCATTAAGACCAGCAATATAGAGTTTTTCACCAGCACTTTGCTTTGATTTTGCCGTGGAGCCTTTATTGATCTTACGAACAACATCAGCAAAACCATGTAAAAGTGAAGTGGAATAGGTATAGCACAAAAACCAGCAATCTTATGCAAACCTGCTTCGGTTTGGGCACCCGGGCAGTATCACAGCCCACACACAAACGATGAACTCTATGTCTATGGCAACTACTTTTCTCGCTCCGAAAAACAATCAATCGATTCAAATAATTATCATTACTATTATTGTCATTATTAATACTATTATTATTACTATTATTGTCATTATTATTATTATTATCTTCCACATTATTCACCCTCTTTTATACTTATACAGCGGCTCGTCTTTGGTGGAAATCCGACTGTATCTAAACGTTCTCGAGTCACTGTCCGGTTGAAAGTTGTATGTTACCATCGAATATGAGTACTGAAGCAGTGTTTCTGAAACCACGTGCGCCATTCAAACTGGCTGCCTTCAACGTTCGCACACTTATGCAGGTTGGTCAACAGATAGGGCTGGCTATGTCTTTGGAAAGTCTTAATATTGATGTTTGTTGTCTATCCGAGACCCGTATTCAAGACTCTAGCGAAGTACTACAAATTCGCTCTACATCTGTCACTTCAAAAAGCTTGTTTTACGTGCGCTTATCCGGGGACCCTGTGGCATCTTCGTTTGGTCTTGCAGGCGTAGGTGTCGCACTAAGCGCTAGAGCTGAGGCAGCACTAATCGATTGGATCCCCATTAACAGTCGGTTATGTGCTGTTAGATTAGAAAGTTCCATCAAAGTGAGAAGAAATCGGCGTGAGAAACGGTGTCTTTTCGTCATCTCCGCCTATGCCCCGACAGATTGGAGCCCGGATGCAATCAAGGATGAGTTTTACCACCAGTTATCAGTTCTTCTCCAGAAAGTGCGTTCGACAGATATTGTAGTATTAGCCGGAGACTTGAATGCTCAGGTCGGGCGTCTAGGCACAGAAGAGAGTCGTTTAGGTGGCCGATGGGGACTCGTTGGTCGCAGGTCAGATAACGGGGACCGTCTACTGCAACTTTGCACAGACCACAACCTGTTTCTGGCTAGCACTAACTTTCGGCACAGTCATCGCCGATGTGCCGCCTGGCGTCCTCCCTCTGCATCTCAAGCCTGGACTCAGATTGACCACATCGCGATCAGCTACCGCTGGCGTGGTTGTGTAAAAGACTGCCGCTCCTTTTGGAGTACCTATCTGGACTCTGACCATGCCTTGGTCTGCGCTAATCTTGCCTTACTTTTCAGTGGACAACGAAGTGACCTCCACCAAAAGATTGATGTTAGCAAGCTGGTTGCAACTTCTGTTGCAAGTTAGTATCGAACCGAGCTAGCCTCTAGGCTAGCTACTACTCCACCGAAAAGTATAGATGAGGATTGGTTGCAATTGCATGACGCCATGAAAATGGCGGGAACAGTCAGTTGTGGGTTTGCGAAACGTCCCGCTTTTAAGCACTGGGTTTCTTCTGGTTCCTTACAACTCATTGAAGCCCGTCGGTCTACTCCGGGTGACCGTGAGTTTGACCATAAACGAAGGATGTTATGTAAGGAAATTGGGCAAAGCTTGCGTAAGGACCGAGAAGCCTGGTGGTCGAAGCGTGCTAATGAGCTGGAAGCAGCAGCTGCATCTGGTAACTAGCGGAAGCTCTTCCAACTCATCCGAGCCACTGGCAGCAAGAAGTCTGGTGTGAGTGAAACAATCTGCGAGGATGATGGGATGCCAATCACTAACATCCATCGACGTCTTGGACGATGGGCAGAATTTTTTGAAGGGCAGTTCAACTGGCCTGCTGCTCCGGCAACATCGGTCAGACTGTCCTGCCCTCCATGGCCGGTGACGACTGATCCACCAAATGAGGCGGAAGTCCTCAAGGAACTCCAACTCTTGAAGCGATACAAATCACCTGGCCCAGATGACTTACCTCCGGCTCTTTTTAAAGATGTTGGTGACTTTTTGACTAAGGAATTGACGACGTTGTTTACAAAGGTTTGGGAACTAGAGAGTGTACTAACGTCATGGAATGAGTCGATTGTTGTCCCTATCTTTAAAAAGGGTTCACGTCGTTCCTGTAACAACTATCAGGGGATAAGTTTACTTCCGATTGCGTCCAAGCTATTGGCTTCTGTCATACTTCGTAGGTTGTTCAAAACTCGAGAAAAATTGACTCGCGAGGAGCAGGCTGGGTTTCGTTCTGGTCGAGGATGTATTGATCATATCTTCACCCTCCGCCAAATGTTAGAACATCGCCATACTTTTCAAAGGCCAACAATCGTAGTGTTTCTTGACATTAGGGCTGCCTTCGATTCGTTGGATAGGACTGTTCTCGGGATTGTCTATTGAATAAGGGTGTGCCTGAGAAGTTTATTAACATCTTAAAGGCCCTACATACAAACACCTCAGGCAGAGTAAGGGCACACAACCACCTCTCTCCATTATCCCATTCAAGCAGTGGGGTTAGACAGGGTTGCCCACTCTCACCATTCCTCTTCAACTTTGCCATCGACGACATTCTGGAAACAGCTCTGATAAATGTAAGTAATGGCGGTGTAGATCTGTTGCCTGGAGAAAGACTTCTCGACCTTGAGTATGCGGATGATATTGTCTTACTGTGCGAAAATACCCAAGCCATGCAATCCGCACTTAATCAGTTGGCAATCAGTGTCCGTAGGTATGGTATGTGCTTTGCACCTTCGAACTGCAAAGTACTTCTACAAGACTGGCAGGATTTCAATCCTGTACTCACCCTGGATTGTGAGCAGATAGACGTAGTCGAGAAGTTCGTGTACCTGGGTAGCTGCATAAGTGCTGGTGGTGGCCTGACTGATGAGATCAATGCACGTATAGTGAAAGCCAGAGCGGCTTATGCCAATCTGGGCCATCTTTGGCGCCTTCGTGATGTTAGTCTGGCTGTAAAAGGTCGGATCTACAACGCGTCGGTGAGAGCAGTTTTGCTCTATGCTTGTGAAACCTGGCCTCCTCGAGTTGAGGATGTTAGACGACTCTCTGTGTTCGATCATCGCTGTCAGTGGCAACACCATGTCAGTAATGCAGAGCTTCGACATCGTGTGTTCGGGTACAGAGACGATAATTCAATTGGTGTCACCATCTTGAAACACCGACTTTGGTGGCTTGGACATGTTCTACGAATGTCGTTCCAGAGAATTCCACGTCGTGCATTATTTGCCGACTCTGGGACTGGTTGGAAAAAGCAGAGAGGTGGTCAGTGTATGACATGGTGTCATGGTATGAAAGAAAGCTGCAAAGGGCTGGCTCCTGTTGGTTCTTCACGACTCCCTGACTGGGGTCCTAGAGATGGTGCTACACAGTGGCTAGAGACGTTATCAGATATGGCTCAGAATAGAAGCCAGTGGCGATCCTGCTGTAACCTTCTTTTACTTTCTTCATAAAAAGTGGTTGTGTCTCCCTTATCTGAAAGATTTCTTCCGATTGTACCTTTGCGTTCCCTGTTTACTAGCACATTGCCTTACACCAATCTCTTCGTTATTGTTCTCTTTTTTTGTGCTCCTTAGCTTCTTCTTTTTTCTTTCTTTGTATTCCTCTTCGAATATTCATTGTTTTGTGTGGCGCATATTTATTGGCGCTCTCTTGTACCAATATTCATGTGTCCAAATAAATAAATAAATAATGCAAACCGAAAGACGAAATGACAAAAGAGGAGTCGGGAACAGTGTAGGACTTCGTACGTACGTAAATCAGTTCATGTTGCCATACCACATCAGGAGAGAGATCCAATTGTCTATTCAAAGCCCATAGTGATAGAGCTATTAAAAGTATAGGCAGTAATCGGGAAGATTAGGGTTTGAAGATGTTATTTAAGGAGTATAATCCAGTGAAATAAATTTGAAAAGAGAAAAAATAAGGGACATGAAGAATCCAGAAGATTAGAATTTGGGAGAACACAAAGAGTAGATGCGCTTGCGCCATTGCAAACGATTTTGAGCCATGTTATTCAAGGTCTAACCATCGGTTGCTATCATCTTGCGGGTTTCAACCAGATAGTCTACACCTCCACTTGTCTTTCCTACGTCCAGTAGGACGCAGAAAAATACGCTCTCGCACTAGAGCATGATCTGAATCTAAGCATGCGCTCCAGAACGAATCACTGTCTTGTATCGAGTCCCTCCATCGGTGGCTGATAGCGATCTGATCTATTTGGTTTCAACGTTGGGACGAATTTGGATGTCGCCATGTCAAAAGATGTTTTTCCTTATACTTAAAGTTAGTATTTGCTAGAAACAGGCGGTTATCCGAGCATAGTTGCAACACATGGTCTCCATTATCTGGTCTTTGAGCCACGACACCATAAGATCCACCCAGGTGTCTTTCCCTATCGCTTAGTTTACCTACTTGAGCATTAAAGTTACCAGTCAATTCTACTACGTCAGAACGCCTAACGTTTTGGAGAAGGTCGGAAAGCTTTCTGTAAAACTCAGCTGCAGTTGGTGGGAGAGTAGGCAGGGACGACGAAGAGGCAAAGACGTGTGTCCCTATCTTTCCGAGTCCTTACTGTTCCGTTTAGTCGGACAGTGCACAAGCGACTTTCCACTAAGACCCAGTCTAGGAGAGCTAGTTCTGCTCTAGAACTCAATGTTATACCTACACCAGCCAGGCCACGAGAAGCAGCATCAGGGCTTCCAGATGCACGGAGCGTGAATCGAGATGGTCCCTTGTTTTTATATGGTGAGGTCAAATGAATTACGCTACCCGGATCCTGTATGCGCCTTTCGGAGTCTCAGCACGCATCGATGGTGCGAGATTCTAAAGTCCCATTTAAGGAAGCCTGTTGTCCTATTTGGCACAGTGTTCGGACGTCAAAAGCTCCTATATGTATTTTAGAGAGACTGGGAATAACGTTCCGCGTACTTAATGCTGTAACGCGTCTAGACTGCAGATTTTGGAGCGAAGCAAATTATCTACCGGATCAATGACACGAAAAACACGTACGAACGACCTGGAGTCCCGATTGGCCCTGCTTCTCTGTCTAGCCCAGCCAGTTGAGTCCAGAACACAAGTCTCAGCCTCCGAGACATGAATCGTTATATTTCAAACATACTCTGTTTATATACCAACCAAACAGACCACATCGTAACGTAAAATAGAAAACAATATTTAACAAGTGAAATAAATACTGACGAATAGGGAATGCCCATTTAAAGTCCAAGGACACCATTAGGCTTAACATGATAATTATTGGTATATTTTTCCGAATATCCCAACACTTGGATCGTTTATATTAGCGGCGCGAGGTGATAAAGGAACGAGAGAAGGGTTAGTCGCCGAGATAAGAGAGTTACTATGAGGTGTAGGAAGGACCTGATTGTGACCAACTTAGTCTTGTGTGCTGTTACGGGTATGAGTGCTGATGTCATTTCCCGGCTGCCCACACTGTGGAAGGGTATTTCTTGAGGAACGTGAAAAGGAAGATGGATTAATGTTGGCCTTAACGACCTGGAAGCGTGACTGCAGAGCCCAAGGGACAACTGCTTGAGGCCGACCACGCGTGGCCTTTTTGTGGGAAGTTTTTAACGTGTTAGCTCCGTTCTTCAAAAGGCCTTATCTCTGGAGACGGAAATCCATGAAGTAAGGTGAGGTGTGACATTTTTAGGGTCGACCTTTTATAACCCCTTCCTACCTTATGAGAAGGCAGCATCTCTGCAGATGCTGGTTGTCCGAGGGAAACACTTTACTGCTGTTACAGCCCTCTACCGTCAGCAGTACGACTTCGCCCTCAGACCTCAAGTTGCTGCTCTTACTCTTACCGTTTTCCAATCTATCTGCTTGGCATGGTAGGACCTACAGAAACATATATTCCAGCCAATATAGCTCGGCTGGGTCATCACGATTGGTAAGTCCGACCATCACTTCAATGTAGGAGACGCGATCGGGACAAAAGAAGAGATATCAAACATCTGCAAAATAAACTGTTCCAATTACGAAAAACAGTACATCTAACAATCTGGATTTCTTCATTTTCGTCTTCATTAACATAAATTAGCGGTCAGATGCCACTACATATCCTAGCTAACATCATGCATGTGGATACGTATTCAACTGGAAAATGCTGAAATCTTGTATAGAGGGAATACTAAGAACGTCAGGGGATTTTTAGAAGCTTGACACTCAGGTCAACTAGCAATCAACAAACATATCGATCCAGTCTATCAATCAGAATAATGATGGACAGATATGAGAACAATAATCAGATCGAAGGGAGGTACAATCAAAATGAAGAGGCAGATAATGACAAGTTGAACAGTAATCAAACGTGATAGAGGTCGACAGAATAAGCTGTCATAAAAGGGGAAAGTGAAAACTTATCTTTCATTTAAAAACAGTATGTTCTAAGCAACGTCATACATTTTTATTGATTTGTCCTTTGATTGTTTCCTTTATTGAAAACTAGTTATTTTCATTACCTCCCGATTGATCAAAGACGAAGTATGAGACCTTAAAGTCCGTCTCCATACTTCACTCTTGACTATAGATTATCAATCTCATAATTTCAATGCACCATTGGTTTTGGCATGTCAGGATGTGGCTTCTGCAGAGTAGATTACTTAACGAGATCTCAGATTTTTACTTAATGATAGTTTCGTTAAACATCCAACGGTGTGAACCGTACAGCGTGATGTGTTTTAGTTTAGAAAATTATGTTTAGTCACACTGTACTTGGGTCAAGTGCTACATGTCACGTTGTTTGATACATATTTCATGACTGTCTGTGAACGTTTGCCGACCATTCGAAATGACAAATGCTTGAACAAATAACACAATCACGATTTTGTCTCTTTTGGTTCCCGCAATCGAGTTGATCCTATGGTGTAATATAATTGACTCAAAAACAGAATATACATTTGCTTTCTAAGTTACTGTGAGATCAACTTCGGAAACTCATTTTTTCAAATTTTTTTAACGAGAACAAAAGAATTTGTCTTATTTAGCGTAAGACCTCATAACAATAATATTTTGTGTAAACAAACAACAATGATTCATTGCAAGTTCTTTATGGTGTTTCAAGTAATCGCCATGATTTAGTTTAACTGGGTGGTTTATTATTGTTTGATTGTTCAGGTGGTTTCTGTAATTTGTCCACTTCTTGACGTAAATATTCTATTTGACCTGCCATCTCTTGATTTTTCGATAAAACCTGTTTGGACGATAATAATAAAATAATAATTATGCGTAAAAGTATCTTCCCAACTTTTTTCTATCAGTGGTTATCTTTTACAGAAAGATTTTAGTCTGAATCATAGAGATATACAAATGCCATATTTACAAATTCTAGAATTAAAAAGAAGAGATAATTAAAGATGTTGTCTGCTTATTACATAAATTTTCTAAGTTTTAAATATCTCAGTAGAAGTACTCTTAGTCTATCGCCCAAACAGAAAGTTCGTCAGACCAGCAAGCTTGAGCTTAACATCATTGGATGCCGGCTCAGTGGTCCAGTAGATTAGGTGCTCACACGCGAGAATGAAGGTCCTGGGTTCGGGTACCGCGTGTGGGATCGTGGATGCGCACTGTTGAGGAGTCCCGCAATAGGACGAAACGGCTGTCCAGTGCTTCCAGGTTTTCAATGGTGGTCTAACATCAATCGGTTGATGATCTCAATAAAAAAATGTTTATCAATACTTTTCAAAAATGTTTTCGTATTACTGATAAATGAGGATTTAGCCTATGAAATTTATTTTTCCGAATACAACAACAATTAAAAACTCACTTCTTCATAATCCTTTCTTAAACTGTCATATTGATGCATTAATTTAGCTGTTCCTTGTTCATTCGCTAATCGACGATTGAATAGTTTTGATCCTACGGTTAACTGTGCTGTTTCAAGTTCATTTTTTAAGCGTTTTATCTCTGTTTTATATTGTTTCAATTCATTATGTGATACTGGTCCAGGCGCACACTTCAAACGTTCATTTTCAGCTTGACAACGTTTTAATACCTTTTTTAAACAAACTATGATTTTTTCTAATTCCTTTGGGGATTTTCCACTTTCACCAATCTATTAGAAATAGGTCAACCATTTGTTTTGAAATAAATAGGAAATGCAAATTATTGATTTTTACGATTTTTTAAACAATTTTAATTAATTTGTACAAAATTATAATCATTATCTGTATTTAATAGGTGTGCCAACAACAATAAAATTGTAGTAAACAGTTAACTTTTTCCTGCCCATTATTGATGTGATATAAAATCAAACTAAAAGTTATGCACAAAACATATTGATTTTTGGGCACCGAATTTAGATACATTGGTCAGCAATTTCGAAGTTTGATCAATATATAAGAAATGTCAACTAATATTCCATATCATCATCTGATAACATTTATCACTAGAGAATTCAATGATTCTGATGTAAAACAATTATTTCAGTAGTTACTAATATTTTAAGGCCTTTCAATAACAGGACACCCATAGAATAGAATTGCACTCGTATGGTAATGACGCTAGACATACTATACATTTGATGAAATAGATTTTCGTGAAGGAAGCTTCATATTTGTGAAAATATGGTTTAAACTTAAAAAGCTTCAGTCAGTAAGTGGTAAAAAGGGACTTTGTAATAGTTTTTAATTACATAAAGATCAACTCATAAATTTTAAATGGTAAAGGTTATCTTAATTTAAAAGTATGTTTTCATCATGTGAATGGTTAACTAAGTACAAGTTCATGTGTTCAGGTTTAAGCTTTCCGTTTTGTGTGAGAGCCAGTGATAAGACGCTGCCATCAAAACTAAAGTAAATGAGTCAAGGTTGATAAATGTATGGTATTTAGCACTATTAGTGTTAACTTCATTTCAACATTCAGGTGTCTATAGATTTTTCTACATTTTTCTAAGGATCGATGACATAATCATTAAAAAGAATTACTATTTGTAATCAAACTGATCCTAGATTTTTAAAAAGTTTAAAGAGTAGGTTTTATTACAGATAGTAAGATTTTAAATTTTAATAACCGTAACATTCACTAACCATTTATAATACGAGGAATCTGTTTTGTGGAAAGAGTTTTAGTACTAATAAGTTTGTTTGATACATTTAAGCCTTCGTCATTGAGTAACTTTTAAATGTTTGAATTGATAGGTTAACAGGAACATACAAATCATACTTAACTATTCAGTTAATTATTTAAATAAAATTTTCCATTAAATACAAGATGTCTTTTCATTCATTGTATTGGTTATTTATTCGTATAATTCTATTGTTCTATTCTTCTTCTTCCTATTATTATTATTATTATTATTATTATTATTATTATTATTATTATTATTGATAAGTGAATTCAATTATTGTTAACATTTGTCCTTAGGAAACAATAATTATTGTTATGATTATAAAAGTAGTAGTTGTTATTAGTAACAGTTAGTCATATTGGTCAAAAATGAAAAACAATTACTGTATAAAAGGAACTCATTTTACTTTTTAAACAAAAAAAACAACTGAACATTTATTCATCACTTATAGAGTTGGCTATACTACATATTCAATGAAAGAATTAAATGAACAAGGATTACGTAGACGTAAGTCGATTAAAAACCTAAAATTGTCACATCCTAATTCAACTGATCATATAAAACCACTACATTATAATGACAATAATAAAATGTATAATAAATTATCACAACGATATATATCATATATTGATAAAACACCATTAACACATCATACAAAATCAGACTCACGAATGATAAATATCATTGAAATTAGCATTATATGTGGTGTATTTTTAACTGGGTATTTTGTTTATCATTATTCCGATAGAATGTATATACCTATCATGAAGTTCTATGCTCATTTAGGTATTAAAGTAAGTTATATTTTATATAAAAATCTTTGTCACAATAAGTCAGTTGATTTAGTTAATTTTTATTGTTATCATTAACGTTATCAACGTCGTCTACGTCAATGTTCGCTTTATTGTTACGATCATTCAATTCATAAGCCGATATTCTATATCGATTCACTGATAATGATGAAATGCAATTTAGCTCTCTGGTTATTACTATCTTTCATGATAAATTAACTACCCACTCCTAATACTCCTCGTGGAGCATTTGCCTCTAACCTAAGAACTCTAGTTAACTTTCCTCTAGGTTCTCCTGTTCGGCTGTTCTCAAGGGCTATTCATCCTTTTAATATAAAGTAAATGTAAGTAATACTAAATTGTTCAGAATCGACTAGAGATTATGACGTAAAATGAAGCTAATGATGGCTAATCTGAGATGTGGAGTCTTGTTATAAATTTATTGACTCCTTAGCTGATCGGTTTTTGGAATTAGCGACTTTCTAAAGGATATCTTTTAAATAACTGTGTTCTATGGTTATCACAAAATGTAACTACTTTACTCAGTGTAATATTGTCGTGGATGTTTTTATTATATTGAGCTTAGTCTGTTTATTTCTTTAAAAATATCATAACAACACATCATACTCAAAATGAAACATCTGCATCGTTTATATACAGCGTTTAGAATCTTTATTCATATTATTTTTGGCGTGATGTACATATTATATATTCTGATATTGTTGTTAACTGTCATATTATTAATACAGCCCTTTCAATAATTTAATTTTGTTTACAAAACCACTGTGTGTTTTTTAAATACAAGCTAAGTTCAATCAACTTAATTGCTGTCATATCATTTAAAGCTCGCTTGAGTAATTGTAAATGGCAAAAAAGTCGAGAATACATATCTCATGCTTGAATGAACACATGAAATGGCTACACAGAAAGTACTGCCTTTTAGAAGTTGTTTTTCTATGTATAGAAAATTTATAAGAACAGTTGTGCAATATTAGAGTACACATTATCTAAGAGACATAGTAATCAGATTTAGGAATCGAAAATTCTTATTTAAAATTGATAACCTAAAGTTGACTTAGAATGCGACATTAAGAAGTAATGTATCAATTGGAAATAGTAATAGGTGCGGTAGTCTAGGTGTGTGTCCGCAAATCAAGCAGAAAATGATTAATGGTTCACTTGATTTTAAAATATATTTAAACAGTTATACTAGACTCTATAGTGAATGTCCATTCTGTGTTTTTATATATTTTTCCAATTATTATTTTTACGTTGAACGTTGAGTGGAACTTGCTTATTGCTTGGAAAACTGTTTATTAGTTTAATGTGTGCGCGTAGTTGGAATTCAAGAAACCACAAATTCTTAAAAGCAATGCGTTACCGACCATAAACATCATTCTACATTGTCGAAGTTACCACTGATTAAATTTATAAGTGACTAATGCTGTATTCATTATCTCGCTGTAGCTTAAATATACAGTCTTCTATTCTACTATATATAGCAGTTTAAGACAGTAATAACCACTTACCTTTATATTGTGGTGTTTGAATACAGTAGACGATTTTCACTACAAATTATTAAGCAATACAACAACTCATTACGATTATGAACCTTAACTGCGAGAGAAGCAATAAAATATATCTGTATAGTAGGAATTAACATGTATTTATCACCAACCCCAGGCATTTTAGATGGTTTTCGCCTTAACAAAATCTATGCCTCATAATATATATTGTAGATAAGATTTTATGGTGTATTGGTACTTCACTTTATGTGCATAAATTCTAATATAATTCTGTTTGATCGAGACAGTGCACAGATAAAGAAAAAAGATATGCCAATCAATGAGGTGTCCCTATTTGAGATTACTCATTGAGATACATTGTAAACATTTTATAAAATCATATGGTTTGCAAATACAGTTGACAGAGTTTAATAATTAGTCAAACCATAAAGTACTTGGTAAAATACCTGAACAGTTAATAAATTGGTAGCCACCATTCATTTATATTAAATGAAGGGTGATGATGTGAGAACTAGAATTGTGGTTTATTAGGTTATATGATCAGTTATCAGGTTAATCGATCACAACTTCATGAACTGGTTCGTATACTAGTGTTTAAAAAACTATTACTGTAACAAACCCTCATACGGAATACGCAACTCAAAGTTTTATAAGTAAATCTGAAATAATTTTAGACTCATAAATGACATTAACTTTATTATTTCAATATTCATTTGATTAGTATTAGTATCTCCAGTAAAAGCTGTCAAATCATTTCAAATGCTACATTGGTCTCATCTAACTAAACATTTTTAAAAATTAAAACAAGTATTTTTATGAGGGTGATTTAGGCATTCACAACTCGTACAAACAAGTTTTAGTTAGATAATGATTTTTGAAAAAAAATATTAGACAGATGAAAACAAACGGACCACGATTGTATATTGTCGAAAAGTAAAATGATTCCGTAAACAATACTAATCATATGATTTGTGAAGAAGGGATAAATAGATTTGATTAGCAGAAAGATAAAAGGAGTATGTAGACAGTAGTTAATCATTGTCTTTTGCATAAACAATTTATCCGATGATCTAATTTTAAACATTCTAAAGAATGAGTAAATCAGAATATTTGTAAAGTAGTGAATATCTTATCCACAGAAAACGGACAAAAAATTTCCACTTCAACTCAGTAGTACTCGAATCTTTTGGGATCTGTGCAAAAAGTATGACATAGCAGGTCATCTGAACACGTTAATAATCTTTGAAAAAAAGTTAGTTAGCAAGTATAGGTCATTACTTCAACATGCTTGATCAAGCATCATGAACATGATAAGCCAATTAATATTACTAATTTAAACGTTAGTTTCGACAGTTTATACTCTTTATGAATACATCGTTCCTAGACTATGTAATCGACAATGGTGGGGCTAAATGAAAAAGCACAGGAAAGCTGTTTTTGATGTGACTTGGTGGTATGAAAGATAAACATACTGAATAGGTATTCGTTGTCTCACTATGAATTCAAGGGTTCAATTATAAGTACCATACTACGCAGTAGAGTGAAATATTAGCACCCAGTGGCTTTTCATAAGTACTATGGCCAATCTTTGAGGTGAACTAAATTCTTCCGGGTTATTTTCTTACATGAATTGTACCTTCCAAAGTATTTTTTTACTTCTTCTGATTTCCTTTTTTCTACATCACAATATGGTGTGTGGCATATTATTTAGTGTACATAATTACCAGTTATTTTGTGTTATATATTGCTTTTAAGATATTTTGCTAAAATATATAATATGGCAGAGGATCAAACATATTTTTAAGTTGATAGTTCGAAATAACTAATCTAACAAGTACGGGTTTGTATTTTCGACTCTCGACCATGGTTTCTTGTGTGTGGGACTCTTGTATTAGAACTAGCCTTTGTATCTATAACCCTATAACTGAAATTCATCTGTTTTACCTGCCAACTCACTACTCCACTTAGTGGTTAAGACAATCGATATTCAACAACAGGGTGGCAGCATCGAAACCCCATTCAGTATAATTTGAACGAACAATAGGAGACATCTAGTGAAAGAGAAGTCAAGTATTGTATCCAAACAAAAGAATAACAACCAGGCATCAAGATAATGTAGTAACTGTTCTGTGCTGAAAATAGTAAAATCTCCTTCTTTTCATATAATACAGTGAGCAGGTGAGTTTTACTTTTTGATAATCTCAAATATGTAATAATGTCTTAAAGTGACAGCGATTTGTAGATTTCCTCGATGATTCGCTTTACCCTCCATGAAGGTAACGTTACCCGGGTTTCTTTTCCAGCGTAATTAATTTACTCTTTTTTCCTGCATTTCTGTTTTGAAAACATTTGAAGCGATTAATTATATTCGGTAATTTTTCCATAAAACTAGATAATTACAATTGGAAATTCTTGTTTTAAAACATTTAAACAATCATAGTTAGTAGCATTATTGTGTATTTGTAAGCATAACAAGTTTATGATGGTAGGAATAAGAATAATAGTTATTATTATTATTATTACTATTATAGTAAACATTCAGTTCACATACCAATATTCAGATTCCATTATGGCATTTAGTTTGGGATCTAAGTGATCAACATTTTTATTGATAAATAACTTTTCAGTGTCGGGTTTTGGAGATTGTTAAGTTTATGATTGAGATCAAGAATCGATGAATGTTAGGCCACTGTTGAAAACTTGGAGACACCGGACGGCCTTTTCTTCCTAGTATGGGACTCTTTTGCAATGCACATCCACGATCCCGCACATAAGAATTAAATCCAATACCAAACACCGATCGCGCAATTTCATGAAGTGGTTGAAGTTAGATATTATCACCGTCGGATGCTGGCCCAGTGGTCCAGTAGGTTAAGCGCTCAAACGTAAGGCCGAAGGCCCTGGGTTCGAATACCGCGTGTGGGATCGTGGATGTGCACTGCTTAGGAATCCCATAATGGGACGAAACGGCTGTCCATTGCTTCCAGGTTTTCAATGGTGGTCTAACATTCATCGATTCATGATCCCAGAAATAACTTTTCAACGTGATTTATTGCATTTCCCTATTTTTCTCTCGATTCGTTACTTCTACTCCGTGGATGCATAAAGGAAGCTCAGAATCGTCTCAGTCAACATTTACTTTATCACGCTAATACCAAAGAACAATATGAAGAGGCTATTTATTGGTTAAAAATATCTGCTATTCAGAATAAAAATCCAATCGCATCATACAACTACGTGATCGCACATTTTAAAGAGCACACTACAGAAAGTAATTTAACAACAAATCAAGTCAATGACTTGCTGGTTCATGCATTGAATAATGGAGTTCCTGAGGCGCAACATTTATTAAATCATTGCAGCAAATTAGAAAATCTAGCCAAATTAAAAAATATTGTACTGTCGGAGGAATCAGGGGACGAATACGAAGAAATCGCTGACTACCTAATATGATCATATATGGAGTGTTACAGACGCAATTTACAACAATAAAGAAAAACCAATATTATTATTAATTTACAATACAAAGTGCAATGAAATATACGTTTCCATAAATACCGTTATATTTCCAAGACCTTGATATTGCGGGGAAAATCTTTGCGAAAACAAAGACGGAAATTTAATATTTGTCATATTCAGGACTAGTTAGAATTTGCAGGGTTAGCCACATGCGAAGTCGAACCTACTTTTTCTACTGCCTAAAAGTAATTGGTTGTTGCGGTTAAAAGCCACGTTTGTATATTGGTAGAGAATTTATTGCACAGCTCATTTAATGAGTTCGCGAGTGATATTATAACAGGTAAAAATTCATAGATTAAGAATTTATCCTTTGAGATAGATCATTACTCTACTAATGAATGATGTTCATAACGGCTTTAGTAAATGAAATAACTGAAAACTGCCTACAATTTCAGTGAAATTTAGGGACGCTGACTATATGGTTCCTGTTTACGTACATAATTTTATACTTAGGAGGAAGTTTAAAAGAGATGCATTCAGTTAGATGATTTTCTACATGTTATGTTCATATATTTGTATGTCACTTTCTTACAGATTTCATTGTCTTTGCCGAAAAAAATAAACAAGAGTATTGACAAGATGTAAACTTAAATCCTTAAAAAAATGGTAATTGCTTATTGATTATGCTGACCTCATACATCGGAAAAAATAAATTGCCTTTATTTGGATTCCTGAAATCCGAGCAAATTCGTATAGAAACATTAAACCTTCATTTCGTCTTAGTGGAAAATAATTTTACCAAATCACTTTAGTACAACAATTTAGATAAGATATTTCTATTCATGTTTAATTTTACGTTCACTAATAAGGGATATATAAACTCCTTCACAGTAGAGTATAAAAGTTATGAATATCAATTTATTTGTGACTATTTCTTCTAGTTTAATTTGCAGTGTTTCGCTTTGCAATAAGGGATAATGTTCTGATCCAAAAACTCTACTGCACTGCATCTAGCACACAACTCTAACTTCAGCTAACTCGAAATATTAAACTATCATCATCAATTGCCATTGATGATGTTTAATTCACGTCTGACATTGGTAAACTGTACTGATAATGGATTCTCTCTAAAACATAAGAAGTTAGTCACTTGTAGGAACATGATTATTACTAGTATATCAAGTTGTAGTTCAAATCAGTGTGAAGCTTAACATTTATGGAATAAAATTAACTTGCATAAAATGTTTGTTAAAATAGTTAATCGTCAGTTTAGTACATCAATATTCATCAGTTTTATGCAACTTTTTGCAATCAATTTTCGACGAACGAGGATTTCTGACTTTACTCTTGAGTGGAAATCGAAAATAACATTACTTAATTTCTTGGTCGAACATTAAAATAGCCTGAGTTACATTATTGCATATGAAAATTACTGAGTGTTAACTCTTGTAAGTAAGTGATATATTTCTTGATTTTTTAACAGATTACGAAAAGAATCAGCATCAGACCTTTGACCGAAGAGTTTGTATCAAATTTTAGTTTACTGAATGCATATGCACTTTCTAGGAGTTTGGACTTCATTCGTTCATTACTACAGTAAAATATATTATTGATGGTTCATGAAGTCCTATAGGGTTAACAAGCCATTATGAAATGTGTATTTTCCGTCAATTATAACTACCAACAATAACTTACCCTGAATAAGGCATATGGATAGTTTTTGTACAAAATGGATCTCATTAAATCAAATGACTCGTGTGAGGTTTGTTCTGTAAAACAAGTTGGTATTTTATTTGGATTTGTGGGGACGATGATAAGTTCATTAGAAATAATAGTTTCGGCTCCAACTAATCTGGAAAAATAATGACAATCTAAAATTAGGGTCCTGTAGAGGAAAAAGAAGAGAGGGAGAAAAGTTTTAAATCCTGAACAAATAACTTGAATTTTAAATACTTTAGGAAAAGAACGTAATTTCTATTGATTCTGTAGCAGGTAAATGCCAACCCTACCTCATATTGATAAAAAAACATGTATTACCTCATTACTGATACGTTTTTGCTGCGTAACTGATATGTTTCTCAAAATGGTATTCATCCAGATACTTCATTCGAAGATTATCAAAATGTTCAAATATTAGAGAAGTAACTAGTTAAATCATTTGTAACACTACGACTGACAGTAGGAAGCTTAACTGACATTCTAGAGAATGTCTGTTGTCTTTTTGTTGTTTTGAATATATTCTTTTCGTTATCACTTTGTTTTAGTCTAGAATTAGAAAGTTATGGGTTTATAGCATAAAAAGAAACTGCTGAATCAGAAGATTACTTATTTTCACCGATGACAAAAGATTTAAAATCCCTTGTGGAAAGTTATTTATAAAGAAAATCAATATAAATAAATCTTAACTAAAGGAAAACAGATTGATTAGCTACATAAAATGCATGGGACTTATTCAAGTGCGGGAATTTTGAATTTCAGGTATATATAAAATACTAAACATAAATTGGCTTTTCATCATTAAAAAAAACAATTATTTATTTAGAAATCAAAGCCAGTTAAAATTGTTTTTATTGTTAGAGTAAAAATAGTTTTGTTGTAAAATATGACCTACCTAATTCCAAAAAATAACGCTTGACGGATAGTTCTGAGAATCTTATTTGATTTAATACCATATCCTATCACAGAACATGGTTCATTGGGTATTGTAGTATCTGTAAGGGACACCTGGCTACATTGAACGGCATGTTTAATATCATCTTCTCTGCAGGTTTTATGGGTTAAATAAGCACTTTTAATATAATAATGGGCGAGCGGATGTTGTGATGCATCTAAACTAAATTTGCTCGGTTCTGCAATTGTAGACATTGATTCTGTTGGTTGATCATATGTGTCAAAAGTTGGGTTGCGGCTTATGCATAATTCACGATATGTGGAAGATAAGAGTAACCGGTAAAACCCTTCGTTTGTCAATAAACCTAAAAGTTGGAGCATAATGAAATATTGACGTCCATATATTCTTTACAAAAACTAAGGTTATTAGAACTATTAATTTAGAGTAAACTATTAATGATTTGATTGCATTTCTGTCCACTTTGACCATATCAATTTACGTTGATCCTGTATTTCATCGTCATAATTTAATTTGTCCCAAGACGTTTGCTTCAAAAACCATGGATACGTATAATTCAATTAAATTTGATTTGTATAACAACGTGTACTGAAGTTGTATGTTCATGAATCAAATTAACAAAGTTACACAAATTAAAGTGGATCAACATACGACGCATAGATGTTAAGAGTTTTTGTCGCTGTGCTTGCCGTTACATACGATGGTAAATATAATATGAATACCTCTTCATAATGCCAAATATATTTAGGGAAAAAAGCGTGATTTAAAACGTTAATGGGTTAGAACAGTGTCATATAACTGATTATTGTAGATGAAAGCGAACATAAAAACTGACTTCATATAAGGTTATATAGTTGGTCTAATTTTATCGCTTTCATTGTTATATCAGACAAATTGTCCGATAACTTCAGCGTAAGTTAGCCAGCAACTAAAAATCTATTATCCACGTTGCAGACAGCGGCTATAATTTGCCTTTTGGAAATTCATCAACATTTGCTAATGATAATTCTGTTTTCAGATGCAGCCAGGGGCATTAGGGGATTAATATCAAATGTTTTGATAGATAGAAGAAAACACTGCTTTATTTTATGGTGAAACTTATAGATCATAAAGCTTACTCCATAACCTTTTACGTGGACTTTTCACTCTCATTCACAGTTATAAATAGAAACCCTTGAGTACTTTGCAAAAAATAATACTTATGTATACGATAATCTATGATACTCAACTGTCATCAGTATTACATTGGGACCACATGGTACAAGAACTCCTTATGTAAATTGAGGACGGCTAGTCCAGTTTTAAATATAACCGTTGAGAAGAGATACAAAATCTTGTATTTCATGAACTTGTGAACTAATATTAATCAATGAATTAGATGTGAGCTGTAATTAAAGCAATTTTATTGCATCAGAAGTAGATAAATTTTGTTGCGTAATATACTTTAAGTGAATCGATATCAGCATATATGATTCAATTCAAATAATAGAAACTTACATTTACTGACTGCATATTGATTAGTTTCATATCGTCGAACAATTTCACTAAATTCTTTATAATTAGTAATGACAAGAGAAGAGGTAGATTTGTGATCGTTTATTCTATTTCTGTCGTGATGTAATGGACTTGTTTTAGAAGACAATGATTCACTAGTTAAATTGAGAGTATTCGCAATTGGACTCTGATTTGAATTAGTCTGATTAGTTGTATAACAACTTCTTGATCGTTTTAAATTTGAATTATTTTGTGTTCGTTCAATGTGTAGATATTTTATATGTCTTAGTGTTTTTTGCTTATCAACTGCCTTAAAATTCCTTGGATTTTTCAAAGAAACATTTGGATTTGTGAAATATGAAACACTCTGTGAGTAAAATAAAAGTAAAAAGATTTTATAATTAACTTTTTTATTGATGATTATCAATAAATAGTGCTAAGTAGTCTGTAAACAGTTCATTTAGTTTCGTCTAATTTATCTCAACTTCATGCTGTATTTTGAGATTTCAATATCACGATTTATAAGACATTTGATCGCAAGCTGATAGTGGCTGGACAATAATTGAAAATAAGGCTGATTGAACAGATGTTTTATCGGATTGCACCACCATGATTGTACACACTAAACTGAATCTACTAGAACTCCTCTGTTAACCTGCCTGAAAAACTACTTGGTAAAAGAATCTAACTGTTTAAACATAATGCTATTTGCTTGACAATAATACAGTGTTTCATTTGAAAAGCACCTTGGATAAACGCACAGATGACTGATGACTTTTAATATTGACCGTTATATTTTATCATTTAGTCAATACGAATTCTTTCATTCGTAATAATGTCCAGAGAAAGTCTTGACATATTCTTAATAACATTTACGTAGAGTTGTTACAAAATCAATCGTATTTGGAATGTTTGTACTAAATAATAAATGATTCGAAATTAATTGCACGCTCGATTTGCGTATTTCGTGCAATACATTTACACATGTTCAGTCTTATCTAGTTTTCAAGCTCTGGTTCAATCGTAGTTATTAGAACATGTTTAAATAGGCTCCGCAATTCATTTAATTAAATCGGTGCAAAAAGATCACCTAGTTTGGATGAATTAGATGGGAAACTTGAGGATTGAAGTGAAAAGCAAATCAGATGGTCAGTTCAGTCGCATATCTCATTTCATTAGAATATCAGTTCTTTGTTAATCAGGTTTCTGTCCACTTGAGTGATAAGAATTTTAGGTCGAATAAAAATAGCATAATCTAATCATTTTTAGTTTTTCATAGTCTTTACAATACGAAATATAAAACGAAACAGGTATTCAGTTTCCAAACTGCATAAAGTCACTTCAATAACTAGAGTCGGTAAACGAATCACTGCAATAGAGATCTAAGATTAGAATTTATACTAGGCTATCGCATAGTGAAGTAGAAACATATATCAATGCTTGCTTAAGAGTACACTAAATATCAAAGTAAGCACCTTTAAATATCAAAGAGAACTAATGAGACGGGAAACCCTGAACTTATATGTGTAGATTTTTCAAGAAGGGTTAATTCAATATATACATATCAGCAAAATAATACAGTACTAGTCAACTTACTGTGTGCAAAAATGAATTCAACTCTTGACAGTTCATAAATCCTTTAGTTTTAGTGCTGAAAACATATTAAACGGAAAATAACATTGAGTAGTCTATTTATAGTAGGGATATATGATTATATTTTCCATTGGTCCGCAAACTTCACTTCTTGATCTCTCGAAATAAAAATATAATCATTATCAAATAACTTGTTCAGGAGGTAACAGTTTTCATTGCTTTTTGCGTTTTAGTCCTCATAAATCTTTTCTTATCTGGTACTGGTCAACGTGGTCATGTCATTGTATTTCGTGTTCAGCAGGGGACTACTAAGATATATATCCCAACTAAAATCACTAGTTTATCGATTGGATAATTAATATATAAACTATCAACCCTAAAGATACTACATATTTGCATTCATGAATAAGTACAATATATTAATGACTAAAAACGTGACGTAAAGATTCATCCTATCCAAAAGTAGACGTTAGCTACAGAAACTTCACACTTTGATTTACTTTTAAAGCAACTCAAAATGTTGATATACCATGCATCCTACATAATAGCACTCTTATATACGACTCTAAAACTATAGCAAACCTTTTCAGTGGTATTTTTGCGAATAGTGGAGAATTCTTAAATAGAACTGTTTCAATAGTCATGTATGTGACTAGTAATTCAATAAAACCTATCTGCTTCACATGTTTGAAAATTATTAAGGCTGTAAATACATTTAAGGTTTCGGATGCTAATGGAGTAGACGAAATTTCGTTTTTTTCTCCACAAATATTGTGGTCTAGATATTACACTTCTTCTTCTTCTTCTTCTTCTTCTAAAGCTGGTTACTCTCTCTATGAAATCAGGTACTTACCCTCACTGCTGGAAAACCGTGTGTCATACCGCGTTACAGATATGGAGATAAGACTGACATGAACAATTATCAGCCCATAAATGTTACTCCAGCTATCGCTAGGATTATGAAAAAAATTGTTAGTAACGAACTCTCCAACTATTAACCCACTGGAAAATTTATTAGTGATTCTCAACATGGATTTTTAAAAATCGCCCTTGCATGACATGTCACTTTGATTTCTTTAATTTTGTCATTTCTCAATATAACCAAAGATATCTAGTCTTAATGGTTTACTTTAACATTTCTAAAGCCTTTGATATGGCTAACCACCAACTTCTCATAGATAAACTCTCATTTTACGGGGTCCAAAAACATCTCTTTGCTTTGTTTGATTTTTTTCGCAGTCACTGACATCAAATAGTTAAAATCAACTCTTTCTTTTCGTACGCTGTCTCTGTAAGAAGTTGTGTAATACAAGGTGATGTCTTACACCCTTTGCTCTTTTTTAGTTTTTGTCAACGATATTTGTGAATGATTTTGTGTAGGTAAGCTTCTTCAGTAAGTAGATGATCTTAAAGTAGTGTATTCATTTTCTCCTCATCAGCTGAGCAATAAGCAAAATTACATCAGTATAGAACTTAACAAAGCAGTGCAGTAGTGTTCAAAATGGCATCTGGAGCTTAACATAGCTAAATGTGTATGGATATGCTTCGGTGATACATCACTCAACTTAGATCTTACCATCAATGGTAAGGTTACATACGGTAGTAGACTTTGAACTTAGGTACTTCTACGATTTTTTGTTTACAAAATAGGTATTGAAAAAGACCTCCAAGTCTCAACGTCTTATATGTTGCATAAATTAAAACCTGTATAACAATGAGTCACGTATTTTGATGTACAAAGTTTGTGTTTGACCACTCTTAGAATAATACAAGTTTATTCTTAGTAGTATGGACATAAAGGAAAATTAAGGTTGAAATCAGTACAAAGACGATTTACACTTCGGATTCTTGGAACTGATTGTACGTTGAATTATAATTCCAGATGTAATAAACTCGACCCTCTATGGGAAAGAAGACTCAAACTAAATCTAATATTTCTCTTCAAAATACTTAATAAACTATCCTTTACATCCAGTCAAATAATTCAATTCTAATTACGACATCTGTAACTCCTTGTCATTGGTGAAATAAACCCATTCTAAGTCACCTCTTTATATGAATTACTCTACCTGTAAATTTTCTAGACGCTGGAATAATCTACAACAATTGATCCGTAAGATAAAATCACTCCTATCCCCTGTTCGCTGAATTTATGCTTACTGATTCTTTGAAAATCCATTAAATATTTTAGCGTCTGTGAGTGTATCTTATTCCGCAAGCGAGATTATAAGAACTTTAGCCATTCCTATTACTGAATTTACTAAATAAAACCACCTACCTAGTGTTATTTTACGTTAGAACCATCCCTGGCAACCCTAACTAATTTGAATAATATCTAACATGAACAGAATATCATTAAATCACATGGTAGAGCTGACTGACGTATTTTAGTCATTATTGCTTCGTTGTTTCGTACTCTATGTTTCCATTTTATTTTTTCTAATTATGGATGATTATAATTAATTCATTATGGCTCAGGAAATGACCTTAAATACACTGTTCATTAATCAACCTGATGTCCACTTAAGAAGAACTAAAAGTTCCCGGCCGATGTATTGCATCGCTGTTATACATGTCATAAATGTAATACCTAAACAATTTTTGAAATAGTAAACTTAAAACAATTTTATATAATATGTTTGTTCTGTACTTTTAGTGTTACTATTTACACCAAGCTGATCATGCCTACGAACTGGCATGAATTCTGTAATAATTATATTCAGAATATATATTATAAATATCTAAAAGGGGAATTCGACTTTTCAAGAATATTTGAGGCGATGCACAAAAAGTTTTAGATGAAGAACCGTAACTTAAACATATACTTTGAAGTTCTGCTCTTAAGATTGATTTATAGGATTTAAACAGAATGAACGGGGTTTCCAACAGATTATAGTAGTGATGTAATATATTTTCTATGTAAAATGTTACACTGGCAAAGAAGAAACACGTTGTAATTGGTCACTTACTATGCAGAAAATAGGTCTGCTATGTCGTCTCGAGGCCAAGAATGGATGAACAAATTAAAGAAGACATCGAATGTGAAATTGTCTAGCAAAGTTTCTTCAATCTGATAAACAAAGAACAACATGGAATTAGAAATTTAGGAGTTTGTTAAGGTAGATTATGCTTGGAAATAAAAACGTCAATAAAAATTCAAAACTTAAGACAAATTTTATTTGCTTCAATAAATTAGGCATCTAATGCACTTTACTCTTTGTACGTGTACTGCATTCAACAAACTTGACAACATCGCCTTTACTTCTGATTCCGAATACGTATTCTAATTATTTTAGACAATTAGTCATTTCTGTATCCACGATTGATTACTTACATATAAAATGTTGTTGTACAATAAACTGAGGTTTGTTATCAGTATCTGTTGAACCGTGAATTTAAAAAATTTCATTTTAACATTCTCTTCAACTCTAGAGATATCCTTTTTTTCCACAATCGAAATTCTGAAAAAGTCATGTGCTCAGTACTGGTATACATGTCGTGAATTGTTATACGTTTATATAGCTGGGATTTTGTATAACGTATTTATTCACATAGTTTGTAGACACCCAACAATAGAACGTTAGCCATAATTTTTATGATAGAATAACATAACACATGATATTAAGAACTATGTCACGAATGTATTTTAAATCTTGTTCAACTGGTTGTATACAACGGTAGTACGAACTGTTCAGTTGTTAAATTTTAGGATCATACCCTTGGGTTATTTTTCATTACAAATTTGGATGAATTCAGAATAATAATTTAGGAGAATTACATAAGTTTGTTTAATTCACAGATTCCATTTTGTTTCTAACACCCTGTCTCATATATATTAATTATCATAAGAAAAGTATGTAGATTTACAGGAGAGCGGAAATTGACGAACTAGCTGAAATTTGTCTATCAAAGATGTTAAATTGGAACCTTAATATCAATTACGTCTGTGACTTTTCTCTGAATGCGAGTTTTGAATCTGTTGAACGTGGAATTGATATGTACAGGCTATTTTTGAAGATGTGATAGAAATGTATCTGATTAAGCATAGCTGAATTGAATCCGAAAAGCAAATGAACTCATATACCTTCACTACAGATGCTTTTCTATTTTTATTGAAATTCTGCAATATGAAATACTTTTAAGCTAGTTTCATAAGCGATTATATGCAAACCTAATACTTACAATTTAAGACTGATATCATCAATGACAAGAAGTATAATATGACTTGTAGTGATAATATATTATAAAGAATATTTTGAAAACGTAACAATAACTGAAAATATAGATAAAGCTGGCCTGTACAATATACAGGGAGTCAGTAGTTTTGAATTTATTTTAGGAAATCTTATCGTTTATTCTCACCAGGTCGATAGAAGACGTTCATGATTAGAAACGCAACAAAGGTTACCTCACACTAGTTTAAATGAAACCATATGCTATCAATCACATGCAAAATGTAAATGAAAACTAGATATAAATGACTTACGTTAGCATCGCTACTAATATAGTCTATATTGACATTGTCTGTAATAATTGGTGGACATTCAGACAGATAACTTCTATGACTTGGCAATAAATTTCCTTCTAATCCAAATGCTGCTAGAATACAACAATTTGGTATGGTAGACTTTCCATCGTGAATTAACTGCTCTGTTTTTCTCCATGTTGACAAATTCGAATAAACAATAATTAGATGTGTCCATCTAAGAAAAAGTATTATCATATATGAATAAATACATATAACTGTTGAAAACAGTATGCACGGTTTAGATTGGATAACTAAAATTTGATGGAAATTATATGATACAGTTTCTTATCTGCTGAACTCAAAATTTTAGTTGATAATGGTTTGAAGCGAAGAGAGGTTGAAAATGAAAACGTACTGAAAGATAACGTAAACTTGTAAAACACTGAAGGATAAGTTAATTTTATTGATTGGTTAGCTGTGAAATTAGTTCTTTAAATTTACAGATTGGCATCACAGACTGATTTACGCTAACCAATCGTTGCTGATCGAGTAGCGATGGATAGATATATCTGTCTAGTTTTGTGATCAAACCCAATAGTTTGAAGCTCTACAGGACATATGAGTTGGAATACAATTATTCACATTTGAAACCTCAATCAATTTGTGATTTGTATATTTACTATTCACTGATTCCAATCATACCCATCATATTCTTGACCTGATCGAAATCTATTAGTCACAGCATTCTACCAAATAATTGGAGATTCTTATCAAACTGAGTCATAATTTGTTCAGCGATCATTTAGCGACATGGGGGTTATTGAATGACGGTTTTTCAATGAAAACGATTCACTGAAAAATAAGTGTTTACTGCGCAATAACTGGAATTAAACAACGCCATGTTTTATAAAATCTGTTAATTTGCTAAGGATTGCTTAAAAAAGAGTTAATTAAAACACACTGAAGAATCAAGATCATTGAATGTTATTTATACGGAAAAGTTTCTTATCCAGAGAATTTACAATTAGGTGTGAAATGCATTTATTATCAAAAAGTGATGATAATTATTTGTTTAAAGCCCTGGTAATACCTTTTCTATCGTCAATAGTTTTACAAATGAATTAACTAAGCTGGTTGTATGTCAAATCATTTCACATGTTTTAAAAGTAAACTTTATTACAGGCTGATATCAGGTGAAGGAGTACGGAAACTAGTCAAGACTGAACGCCCGTTATTTCTCCATCTATACTATGATGAAGTGCTGTAGAGTTATCAGACATTTAATAATGAAGTTGTTCGACAATGAGGCTAAAAGATCAAGCTGATACACTGGCGAGAACTAGCCATACAAGGGGCTGTTCAGTTCTCATGGTTTTGGATAGTTCTACAATTGATTTCACTATCTTCACGCGGGAGTAATCTACACAAACCATTCAACTAAACAAGAAATATTTAAGATGATTTCATGAAAAATGTAGTCAACTCAAATAATTATTGGTCTACTTAGTCCAGAGCGGTTAAAATTAAAGTACTTCTTATTGTTTTATATATCAAACACTAAATTTTTGTTTTTGATCTTGGTAACTAAAAACTAGAATTAATTTTTCCAAGCACAAAATCTACGAACTTTATTACAGTTTGTCAGCATCAGGTGCACGAACTAAATACTAGCGTTAATATTCTAATTGGGGTTCAAACTTAGTATTTATCACTTCAAACGTCAACTAATTATTCACTAAGCCGTTGAGTTCAGATATTCACTAATTCGTTCAAAATGAATGTTCTTTTCAATTGTTGGAATCTTACTGATGTTCACATTGAAGACTCAAAATGATCAGTATTTAGTGGCATATTTACATTTTGACTTGATTGCTTCCATATTTCCTTGAGTTACACATTCCAATATGACTAATTACTTGCAATTTATTATTTTAGTAACGGGCAAATTCAAATCTTCGGATAAGACTTCACTTTAGTTTAATAAATTACTTTGAAGAGATGTCATAATTATTACAAACACCTTTTCGCAGATTGGAGTAAAAGGTGTTGTGGTCTGCATAAATTCAGAATCTCTCATGACTGAAATGTTTACTCTGAAATAAATTAGTTAACTTACTGTTTCCATAACAATTCCAGTGGTGCCAAATCAATACGTGTTGGATAATGAGTAAATACTAGTCTAAGTAGGTTATCTTTCCATAACTAGAAATAATACAAAGATTCTTTATTAGACATTAAAACATACAAAACCACCAATTTATCCTGTTAACAAACGACTCAGTTCAATTATAAAGAAGGAAACTAGGTTGATATTATATTTGATGACAAAACACACCTTCTGGGCATGAGTATGTTTTATGGACCAAGGGTTGTTACTAATACTTGATGACATGGTTACAATGTTTTCATTATTCCAATTGTTATTAACAAGTGATCTGAATACAATAGTCTTTTTGTTAACTACAATTTGAAGATTTTGTTTGATCTGTTATTCAAATGAAGCAATGATTTAAAATTAAAGAGGAACAAAATGGATATTTGAAAAATAAAAAAATCACTATAACTGAAACAAATTCAATGATAACACTGATCATTGGCCATTAAAAAGTAGTAGGTTATACTGTCATTATTGATAACTTATTAAATTGATGGATCAACAAACACCCATGTATACTATTCGGTGTTTTTATCATATTGTTATGTTTAGTATTTATTATTACATCAGAGAGCACTTTAGGAATGTGAAAAATATAAACTTCCACGATAGAAACGATTCATTGTTTTCTTAACTAATTGTATCTTGAAAATGTCAAAGGTACTTGAAAGAAACAGTTTTTAAAAACCTTTGCGCTTAGTGAATATCCTACTGGTTGTAATCAGTCACGGCCTAGACTGGAAGACAAAACGAGAGAACTATTCGATTTAAACTACTGAAAGATTCATAAATATAATCTTATTTTCACTCAGTAAGTTGTTGATTTGCTGACGCCGACAAAGCATTTTTCAAGTAGTTTTTCTTCGATAAAAATGAAACAGTGGAAATTCTATTTCATGACAAGCACTTCTTATGTATCATATTGAAAATCACAATTAACTGGTAAACTCATATGCTATAAGAATTTACAGAAAATGTCTCTGTAAAGATGTATAAACAGTATTCCAAGTAACAGAAATTTGAACTTCGACTAGATGTATGCAATTAAGGCAACATTAGTAGATGATCTGGGTCAGTGGCCATTTATCAGGTAGCTACATAGTGTTGCTGTTAACAATTAAAAGGTAAGACAGTCGTTCCTTTTTTACCCTTAATTGTTCTCTACATTACCTGACCATATGACTAAGTTAAACGCCACCTGACATATATTTGAAAATGTGAATAAGTGTTTTTTCCCCCAGGAAAGTCACATATGATTGATTACACTCAGGAATATTTGCAAGATGGATAGCAATTGTGTGGACGTGGTTCAAATAAACTGGTGCATTGTTTTGAAGGATTTTCATTTAACAACTTATTCATACAATAAGAAATAATAACTGAATATAATGTAATAGCTCGTTATTTTTAATTCTCTTTTTTTATTTTTGTTGAGATAAATTAGGATATATTTAATTAAACAGAGATTCAAGCTCATTAAACTATATATATATATATATATATATATATACAATTGAAGAAAACAGTGTGATCTATTCTTCCTATTCTCTATTAATTCCAAAAGATGGTAGAATAACCAATCAGAAACACAATTTCTATTATAATTAATTAACCAATAACTTTTAAATGAATTAATCTTTTCTTTATAAATAAAATGAAAATAATCAATTCCAGCTTGGAATTTGATTCATTTTATTCTAATTAATCTAAACTTAATTGTAATTTAAATCTGATGAAATTAAAATTAAAAAAAATTAAATTACACTTAAATGAAAAAGCAAGAAATAGTTAAAATACAAACAACACGAAGAGCAATTGTAAACAGTTTAATCTTTTCATTCTACTTTATCTCGTGATCGACCTATCAACTTTTTTTTTAAGTCAGCTGCATCATTAATTCATTATTATTGTTATTAACTTCTTTTTTATTAGGAAAGAATGAGAGTAAATTATCGTAACTTTAATTATATTGATTGATTAATAAAAGTAGAAAAGGGGTTATTTTAATAGGTTAAATTTGTGTTATACAAAGTAGAGTGATCTATTTTGTAATACGTATCCATCTTATGGAAACTTCAAAAGTTTATTGACTCATATTGAATGTATTTTGAATTGATGGATACACGAGTTATTAATATTCTTTGTGAGTATTCATTATTTTCCCTAACTGCTCAACTGGAATAAGAAAACAAACCTTTTTGGTCAGTAATAAAGATGAAAGTTTATCATTGTATATATTCTTTCTAAACAAAACATTAGCTAAACAATGGATTGAAGAGGATATTGTGTAGTTCTATTAATACTTTAATTTCACTTTGAATACGCCGAATTAACATCATCAATTGATTTTAAACATCTAAAAGGCAATAGATCCTGATAATGTCATCTATCCTCATACGACATTCAATTTGACGTGATTACAAAAACACAAATATTACTAACATGAACCTTTCGTTCAATTTATTTGAGCTTCACCAATATTTTTGAATTATGCATTGGTGGAAAAAAGAATCAAATTACCCTATTACGCACTTTAAAACTAGATTAGTGAATGAATCACTTTTACCAACGTGTTTACAGTTGTTTCTACTTATAATTCTCTCTAATGTTACTTTGTTAGTATAGCTTTGACAAACATCCATATAGATTCATCAGTTTATCTGTTCTTATGTAATAGGTTATCATGGTTTTAATCTTCAGAGAGGTTATAGATTACTGGTACAAATCCGCAAAATCAACCAAAACAGTGATCTTTAAATTACTAGCTTTCGGTGTCGATGACTGTTCGTGAAATAAACGATTTCTAACAACAAACTGTTCATAAAAATCTGAAATTATTAACTTATATTGATACTTCGAAATATATCAAAAGATATCTAGTAGTTTTTATTGTGGAAATAACATTTGCGTATCATGTTATGTTACATAATAACTAATTGAGTGCGTTCTTACAAATAAAGGAGATATATAATGTTAGTAAACATCTCGAAATACCATAAAATATGTTATGATGAATTTAATGAATTTTCCTTTCCGCACACATAATTATTGCCATATTGAATCTAACATTACTTTTCATTAGTATAAAAAATCTTTAACAAACAATTGATGATATTTTCTGAGGTTTAAGATAAGCATAAAATACTATTTGTCATTGTAGTTTAAAGGATTTCGGAAGTGACGTTTAACCATCAATAATATTGTGAAAGCTCCAGTCTTAATATAAACTTAAATTACTGTTTATCGTTTAATTGAGCAAGTTTGAAAACTATGTAATAATTTATTGCTTATATACTAAATTATTATGGAACCATTTGGCTTAATTTTATTTGAGTATTTTCGTTACTACTTCGCAAACATGGTACATACATAATCAAGTTCACGTTAACTCTGCTTATGGGAAATCAAAGTTGCTCATCATTACATTATTGTTAAGCACTTAAGCTGGAGATATTTGTTTTAAATCACTGATCAAATTTCTCCCTTTTTTTAAAAAGAAATTGAATCGTATTTCTGTTTATACATTTTTATGGATCACAATGACAGAAAATTCTACCCTACTCATCTAAATCAACCAACCTATTATTACCATGACAAATGAATAGTTTCATTCAGTTAACTACTGGTGAATCTAGACATGATACCTGAATATGTACTTTTTCATGGAGACATTTACGCGTAGACATGCTTGTTAAAATGTATTCAACTACTGACTACTAACTGTTTAGGTGATCGATAAAATCCAAATCGGTCATTTGACAGTAGGTGAGTAAATTATTTAAATTTGCTGGTAGGAATAAATGTTAGTATAAAAATCGTCATACTGTCATAAAAATTAGGTGTTTGTTTCGAGAATGAAGTTTACTACTTCCTTTATTCATAACCATAGATATTGAGCATATATGAATAAAAGGACATTTGATTCATTTCTTTATATTACTGCTAAGTGACTTTAAATACTTGATATTTTGTCAATCATAAACAATGTAGGACCTAGAATATACGTTGATCCGTCAAATTTACCACAACATATTAACATACATATAGCTTTTATTAAGTTTCTTCGACAACAGTCTTTAATAATATTTGTTCAACTTTTTGTTTGTCAAAGAAATAATATTCACTTACCTTTAAAGTCTCAGGATTATCTTTGACTAATAAAAATACAATACTGGAGTAGTCATATATTCCTTTGTGCAATTTTCCATAAGCTGTATTTGTTCTAGATTCGAAAAGCCCTTCTGAAGAAACCTGAAGACGTATGAAACTAGTTTCCATTGATTCAAATAGCTGTCAAGATATTTAAAAATCAAAAAGTCTGTTTTAAATAATGGGCTCTGATGAAATAGATATTATTGACAATAAATAAATACACTTCACTTTATATTCATTTCGGAAGTGTCGGTCTACTAAGCATATTTTATTGCATGAATAAGTCGATCAAAGCGATTAACAATACAATTAACAGTTTAGGGCAATACAGTTTCTCACTGAGGTGAGATGTATGTTATTCCTGATGTGATATTGCAGATTATGGTAGTAGATCAAATCACAGTGACAATTAAATGTAATGGAGGTTACACTTTGGGGAGATGGGTTTTTAAAGGCCATTTGACTCAGTAGGATGTGTTATAGAAAATATTAACTAAATATCATTATAAGTAGTACAGTGTGTACATATATTGAATTACCTTAAAACTAATTTATATAATATCCACAAGATATACGATAATTCACAATTTTACGTGCGTACTTTTAAAATACTATCGAAGCCATAATAACTAGGTATTTTTTAAAATAGAAGCTTCTGATATGGAAAATAAAATAAGGACTTCAGAGCACTTTGTAATCTGAACTGATTCTCAGGAAACGTTTTAAAGTTGCATTAAACATCGTATTATAGTGATATTTATTACGCTTTAATCAGTACTTATGCATTCCATCAAAATCCTGACTCAAACAGTGTTCCAAAGTTATTAGGCTTGCATAAAGCTGATATGTATGCAAACGAGAAATCAGTTACCTGTGTAATTTCCACTCATATGTACTCAACAACAGTTTCGTCATCCTAATATAAATAAGGTACTACTAACTATATATTGCTAAATTTACCAAGTTATTTCTAACAAATCAAGTAAGAAATTTTCCTGAAGCTTATAATACAATTGACTGCTGTTTTCAAACAATAACTAATGAAGTTGCTTGGTTTTGTTTGCTTGAATCTTAACATTGATATTTAGGACTGCAATTGATCAGTCTCGTATTGGCATATGTACATCCTGTGCGGATTACGTCGGCATGGTTTTAAGTCACAAGTACTATAAGCAAAGATGAATGGTGTCTAGCACTGAAATCCAGGATGCATGTTTCATCCTATTGGGGACGTGTCAGCTGGCTGTACCTGCATCTCAGATTCCCAAAGTGAACGCCAACTCTGAGATGCAGGTACATCCAGCTGACGAGTCCCAAACAGAACAAAACTCGCGTCATGGATTCCGCTGCCAGCCACCATCCATATTTAACAACTAATAGTTTATATTATCGTGTAAAAATTTGATCAGAATATTTTTTCTTCATAATTACTATTTTAGGAAACAATTTCATGTCATCACAAGTTCAATCAGTATATCATCCGTGAGATCACGTTTTGATCTAATGTTTTACTGCCTAATTATTGATCAGTAAAACTTTGAGCTCATAGGTTGAACATAAGTCGAACATAAATTTCTTGTACAAATAATTAAACTCAGTGGTTTCAAATATACAGATGTTTTTTAACCTCGTTAGACGCTAGCACCACGTAAGTTTACATATGATTAAAAAACTGAGTAAATTCACTTCGCTGCCATACTTCTAATTTCATCAGATAAATAACAAATGACGACGTTTATCGTCCATTGTAGTGCTTCATTATATTCTCTCAAAAGAATTTTCTTTAGGTTCTGTATTACCTGAATTTAGCTCAATTAGTGTTAAGCAAATGCCTTACAACAAATGAAAAGTAAAATGTAATTGTATTACTTACATCATCACTATCTATACACATTTCAATATCTTCAATATACATGAGATCCACTGTGGTAACAATCTAAATGAAAGAACAAAATAAATTGACAGTCAGAAGTAGCAACAGATTTCAGGATTTAATTTGAAAGCCGATTTATCTGACGTGGCGTTGTTTCATTCCATGTACTCGGTATATTCAGTACGTGCATTTTACAGTATATTATTTTAACTTATATTACGTTAAACATAAAATTTCTTTGATGAAACCTTAGGAGAAATGAAATTCGAAGAACTTACTTTCAGGATAAACTCAACATATTTATCAAATGCATCTGTTTGAATACTTTGATAAATAATCCAAACAGACTCAATGGTTCTCAAAGCGATGTCAGTCAACGTCCTAAAATCACACAGTCCTCACAAACTCTCATCTCAAAACTAAGTTGATAAATAATAGAATATCAAGAAAGATACCTTCACTTTTGGTACCATTTCACATTCACGGTGATAACGCTGAAGAAAAAGCACATGTGACTAGGAAAGTTGCATTAATAAACGTCATATACATCAATACTGTGTACGTATTTATCTGAAAATTATTGTGAATTGAATTTTTAACTAGTGATTCATGGATGATTGTAAAAAATGACTGTAATGCAAATATATTAAGTTAACTATTTCTAACTTGTTAACGGATCGTTTAAAACTGAAGAATTATCCAAAAAATCCATTAAAGTTAATAATTCAGTTATTTTTTGACTTCATTTTTCCATAACTTCATCTACTGTAACATTGATTATTAGAGAAAGTAACATTCACAAGGCCATTTCAGGAGTCGCTCAAGTGTGAAACTAGTATTATATATATATATATATATATATATATATATATATATATATATATATAATCATAACAAAATACTTGAATCCCAATCTAATTAGATTTGATTATAGATAACAATTTCTGATGAATTTGACAAAAACAAAAAATAAGAAAACGACCACCTACTTTTTGTTCTATTGAATTCCAATAGATAAAAAATCCCCACAAATCAATTTGTACGAAAACGTTATGCCATGTCATTTGTTTCGAGGGGTTTTCTGTTTCCTATATTGATCATACAATCAGTGGATTATAATTAATAAAGCACTATATAAAAAACCTAAAAATGTAATGAGTTTGAGTGTCCTTGTAAATTCTACTTATCGTACATGTGGAGCTTGAACAAACAATTGAAAAACTGTTCAATTTCATCCTCATTTATTTCAAGGTATCAAAATAGCTAGATATTTAAAAAAGGCCACTAGGTCTTTTCCATTTCTAAAAAGGCTCTAAATTACCAGCAAAGATTTAGGTTATCCTTTGACTGTCATGCATTTGAACTATCCTTGTTGGTCTCTACTTCTCTTTTAAAGCTTCGACGTTTTAGTGACAAGTCCAACACATCAACCAAATCTGACATCTCGTGGGAGACTCACCAATTAATTTACATTATAAATCAAGTAGATCCTTCTTACAAGTAAATATGAATGGAAAAACCCAGCAGAAATCAGTGATATTACAAATATTCAGTTGTTATGATAGAGATTAAGTGTTATTGTAGTTGTGAATCAGTTGTGTAGATTGTTACAAAAGTCTTTTACACTTACGTATACAAAGATATCTTTTTAATCTGCAATAAGTTTATATTTTTAAAGGCGTGACTTTGACTTTTTCACATGAATTTATAAATAATGTACAGTGTAGAAAATCATTATTTCAAAACTCAAGTCAGGTTACAATGCATCTAGTTCAACAAGTGTTGTCTTTATTCTACTACATTACTTCTTAAAGATTCTGAATAATCAACAGAACGTTCTGATAATTGAAAGAGTCCAAGTGATCCCATTTATATGATGTCTTTCAAATTATCATTGTGCTAGAGTATTTCACAATGAAGTAAACGACAATCATTGGTTTTTCCTCATTTTCAACATATATCTACATGTCTAATAAATAATTTAAAAAACAGTGTATGATATGACAGATTTCCACTTATGATAGACAAATAAATACAACTCAGTGGTTTATTCCGAATAACAGAATATTGATTGTCAAGTGTTTCATAGGTTTGCTAAACAACTTATTCATTTGCAACACAGCACAATAAAGAAATAATTGAGAGAGAATAAAGATATAACTTTTAAACTGGGTTACAACTTAAGCTTTCCCAGGACAAAAATCCAGTTGAAAGTCTTATATGGTTTTATAACGACTTGATCACAAACCACTTAATTTAACAGTGTCATACAGGCTTCTCTAGTCGTATTATTAATTGTTGTTACGTAACCTTAAGATAATTTGTAAAACCATATTATACAGTTAAACTAACCGATATTCAGTTAGTGACGTTTATTGTTGTGCAAAATGTGAGACGTATTAGCAACTATTATTTGCTTCATAAATCTTCATGTAGAATAACACATAAACCCCATAAGAATTTTAATGGAAAATCATATAACATAAAACATGCTACATTATGTGGAGTGAGAACCATATGAAATCTTTATTTCTGAGCCAGGATCTATTCAAAATGCAAGCCAATCGGAATTTATTCATTTTTTATCCATTTGGATATAAATGTATACACCATTTACGAACTCCGTTACACATTTACAAATTTATCTAAATTTGTTAATACAGTAGACAATGAAAATTATTATCATAGTGGACTAATGTAGTGTAAAGACTACTTTTATGTGGTGCCATTATAAGAGAGTTGGCTAGAGGTAGCCGTTGCTCATATTGGTCAATATGCAACTTTAATGAGACAAGAATTTACACTCTTGACATTTGAATGTAAATGATGTCTAATTCTACACTAAACCACATTACAAAGTTCCATATGTCTGGATTTGTCAAATGCACCGAATTTGATAACTGAACTTAAAAAGCTGATCACTTCTGTTTTATTATGAATAATTCTTTAGGTGACATCTATATGTGATGAAAATTACTCTTCTATGTTTCAACAACTTAGTCAAAGATTTATTCACCTAAAATGACTTTAAAAGTTTAGAAGCAAAAATGAATTTGAGCATTACATATATATATATATATTATTCAGAAAAGGGTTTTTGTGGATATCATAGTAATTTGATAGTTTAATTCATGAGTCAATTAAAGCTAAACAACGATAGAAAACCTGGAAGCACTGGAGGGCCTAGTGGTTAAGTGCTCGCGCGCGATACTGACAGGTCCTGGATTCGAATCTCGCGAGGTCGTGGACGCGCACTAATAAAAAGTCGAACACTAGAACGAAACGGAATACAGTGCTTCCGAGTTTTCCATTGTGGTCTAGCTTCAATTAGCTCATGAATTGAACTAATATATATATACCATTTATTGCAATAATTTAATAAATTAATTTTTTTGCTAAATAAACTTCCATTTTAATCAGTTAATAATTAGGTTTTTTAATTTTTCTAAATTTTACAATATTAAATTGAGCACGATATTGACGAAACTTTAGAATTTGCAAATTACTTTATTATTTAAAATAAAAGTATGGTTACATCTAATAAATAGAATGACTATATAAGCCGATAATAATCTGTTGTCGTCACTGAAACATCTGTTTCATAGAGAAATCATTTTTGTTTCTAATGAGCTCATAATTGAAGGATTACTTTTTAAGATGATTTCTTTCATTTTTGTCTACCATGATGCTATCATAGTTATTCAGCATTCTGTTTTTTATATCTAAACTAATATAAGCTTGTTGATCAATAATAGACTGAATAAATAGTTGTCAATATTGATGTTCCTACAATGTAAAAACAAAACGTTACCGGCGATATTTTGATTTTATTCTCAATTTGTTTGAATAAGAATAAGATAAAGACAATGGGAACAAATTGTTATTGTTGATGCGTCATTCGTTTTGTTTTTTCTTACTTTTTTCCTCTAGTTTTATTCTTCCTTGTTTACAGTAATTTCGTAAAAATGCTTGGAAATTGATTTCCTTGATTATACATATAGTTTTATTTTGATTTATTAGATGCGTAATTGAAAACCTAATATTTTTATTAAAATTGGTGATTGTTTATCCATCTCCTTCTTCTAGTCAGTATTAATCATGTAATTCATGCACTTTCAAGTTCCACTGTTGTAAAAACACCAATGTAGTATATATATATATATATATATTGTTCCGTCGAAAATATTTTTTTTTATGTAACCGACAAATACAAATTTCCGCGTTGTTTGTAAATAATTGTCTTATTTTGCATCTTCGTTGTTAATATAAACATCATTTTCAATAGAACACCGTGTAACAAATGTTTTAATTCGAATTGTATGTATATTTCTTAATTTACGGAAGTGTCATTATGGGGAAAAAAGTTAAACATTGATAATGAGCTATTTATTTATGCCATTGAATAATAGTTTTGAATATGTGATGAATGAATGAAATGTATACGTCAAATGTACAAGTTATTGTTATATTGTAAGCACACACGTGATTACTTAAACATTGTTTTACTGTATAGACTTTAGAAACAAAAATAGGAATATAAGAGTATTCGTCCTTGCTTTAGTATTTGAGATACTAAAACTGATTTGCGCTCTTTACTTTTGCTATTGAAATTCTGTATAACGCACTATTTTCATAAATAAGGTTTGAATAAGCATTTTATAATACACTGGTAACTATAAATTAGTCGAACTTTATAAGTTGGGAAATAGTGAAAAAACCAGCTTAGAATGGTTTTGTACTTATCACAGACAATTAATATAACTAAACACTTTATCATTGTCAGGATTTTCCTTAAAGAAAATATTTGATCTCATTGTTGAATAGATGCAGATAAACTGTCAGTTACTTTTTCAACTAGCGATCCTAATAAAATCGCGCTAGACATATGAAAATCTTTGACTAATTTAAAGTCCTTTAATGAATTGATAATCATTGTAAACATCAAAATACTTTCGATTAACTTTTAGCTTTTGTTTTTAATATGATGAGGTTTACTAGAAATACGTGATCAGTAAATGACTTATTTGGACCTCATAATATTGTTCTACTCAAAGAGAAAGATTAATGTGAGTTGTTTTGATTAAAATATTTTGAATGATTTTCAACATACCTGGAAACAAAGAGAAAATTCATCGCCTTCAGTTAATAAATTCGGTACCGGTAACCAAGGCAGGTTAGGTTCACTGTGCTTATTTTGAATGTTATTTTTCAACATTTCTACATATATCAGACTTCATGTTACATCATTGTCAATTAATAAATTCATATTTTGTGGTATTTTATATTCACTGAAAATATAAAAAACAAATTCAGCATTGAAATATATACGTTAAACTGATATGTGTTACTAAATATGAATAGTAACGTCCAGGATTTTCTAAGAATAACTACCATTTTAACGTACCTACTGAAATTAATATGATGACTGACAAAGTCATTCATCTGAATGAATAGTACTCTATTTGATATCAAATTTTACGCAAACTGAGTTATAGTAATTATGTTACAATCTGTTGAAAACTCAGACTAAGATTAATAAATTAAATGATGCGGATGAAACAATATTACAAAATAACCAGACACATGTCAAATCATTCAGAGTAAACAGTAAAACCAAATATATGGGTATTTTGAGAAAATAGCATTTTTCAAAAGCCGCTATTATTATACATTTTGGTTTTGTAGAGTTCTTTTATATACGTTTTGCTTCAGGCTATTTAATACAAGAGATGTTTTATGTATAAGACTGAATTCATGAATACATAAAGAATTGACTCTGTTCAGATATGAAATATTTTTGCCAACATATATTACATTTATAAAAGTTTGTTTATGATAGTTATTCCAAAACTGTAACAATGTGTGTACATAATTTACTTGATTATACAACTGATACAAAGCATTCCCATTCGTCTACCAAACAATCTCAAATACCTCTGAAAATAAAACCCGGTGGTAGATTAATACTGATGATGCAGTTGAGTCGTATTAGAGATCAAATACCGACCCCTGTTTCAGAGCTTGTGTAACCTTGATCAAGCTTACAAAAACAATTTCTATCCATTTAATCAAAGATCATTTTAAAGGAGGATCTGATGCTTTTCACTTAGCAATCATTTTTGAGAAATAGCATTAGAGATGATAATTTCTGCTTATTGTAAAATATTTGAGGTAAATATGGATATTAACAGAAACTTCTGTATAGCTTATTATGATATACATCATATTAGATACTTAGAGGTTACGACTTCATGATTTGAACAATTTTTACATTTGTTTTTTTATAGCTCAGTGTCTAGTTCTTTTCAGTGTCCACCACAAAACAAGTTTACGTCAAGCGTCTGTCCAGATGTTCGCTTCTACTATACACAAACTTTTATTCCTAGTAGCTTAAGGGCGGATTGAGTTTTGTTATTATATATGACTTTATCGTAAAGGATAGACCGAGAAAATTGAAATGAATTATTCAGACACCTTACATTATATTATATACACATAATAGGCTGATTACCTATTAAACACGACCTTATGCTAAATATCGACCAGTCAATAATCCCATGACTACGTAGTCCAGATATACTAAAGAAACTGATCGTTATTCCACCGTGATTAAATTGGTCTTATTTGAACCCTTGTTTAGCTTAGTAAATAATTTATGTAGCTTAACAGCATTATTTATTTGTATTAACATTTCGCTCTTTCACTGGCTAACATTCGAAGTTGATCGATACCTGATCTGAACTAGTTATCAAAGTGAACGTAACACATACATCTGACTTGAAAACTGTTTTGTATTTTCTGCAAGAACGTAATTTCACTGTCTAAACACTAAGGCAGTATTCTTGATCCTATGTATTGTGATAGTGAGTTCATTTTAAAATATATGTAATCGAAAACGATAAGTGATGTCGTAAATTTATAGTGGTCAACCAAATATTAATTTAAGAACTGCTTCTAATGCCTTAAATGATTTCCTACACCGATCAATGGTTATGAGAATTTTGTGAAAGGTTTCCAAGCTTCTAGTTAGATTATTTACAAACTTCGGGATAAAAATAAATTCCACCCATCTGCAAATTTCTGGAATAAAATTGTTAATTTATGTGAGAATAATAACGATGAACCTTTCGCACCAAGTTATATTCTTGCTGAAAGTTGTAAGCGATCAATCAGTCATGGAATTGCATCTAAGTTGCGTTTTCAATCTTCATTGCAACATCTCTTTATCTATTTTTTGTTGATAAATCACTATTACACAAAGGATGATGGATTCTACATGTTTGTGTTTACATATTACTGAGAAAGGTTTGCTATTCTTTTTAGACGAGACATCAAGAACGTCAAGTAATTTCAACAAAATAAAACTCTCGAGATAGAACGTATACTGAAATACATTCATTCACCCAAACGTTCCGTAAGTATCAATCATTAATGTTGATTTTGATGTTTAGAATGGCAGATACAGACTTGTAGATAAACCGTCCAGCCCAGAGAATATAAAATTATCAGAAGACAGGCACACAACCTAAAACGTAGTGATCATCTATTTTTAATTTAGCTCACGACATATACTTAAATCTTCAAAGGAATAATCAAATAAATTAAGACATTATATTATAGAAGAATGAGCAGTGAGCAAAATTACTGGTTAGCATACCAGATGTTCTGCAACCATAGATTTTTTTCCAAAACCAAGTTTATAAATAGAGAAAAATGATTATCTTGTTAACTAAATACAATAATAGTTGATGGCAAGAATGCATGTAAACTTACCTTTGACTACTTCTAACTGAGTGATTGCAAGTACACAAACCAATTTTAAGTTCATCTGAATAACGTCAAATCATGTAGATAGCGATCAAGCACCCTACTAGAAAGTGATGGACATAGCCGTCAGACTACAAGCAAATATATAACGCGAGTAACACATTCAAAAACAGGACTACATCGATCAAAAAGCTATTCATATTTTGGGATAAAGCGCAAACAAATAGCAACATAAATATGTTATTAAATATATGATAATAAGACCGAATTACAAGATAAATTAATTAGTGACTTAAGGAATAATTTTAAAAATGCATGAAGAATGAAAATAAATCTAAAATACGGTGTTCTTCTTTAGTGGAGACTTTAGATTTTAAATGCAAAAGACATGATGAAACCCATATGACAGTAATCTAACGTTCATCGGAGACTTCAAGAAAAAATCTTAGTCATCAACCATGTAGCAGGAAATGCGGTATTGGTTGTTAGTAAAGTTTTGTTGCTAAGTTAGCGAAGTTATTATCGACAAATTTTAACTCACTAGTTTGATAAGTTCATGATATCTACTTCACCTGTACATTTCACTACATGGTCATAAATGAAAACATTAAATTGCTTTAGAGGAAAGCATCTACTGTCAAATAGGCCGCAGTATTTTTCCGTTCATAAGTAGATATCAATTAGTAACGAACACTATATTCATACGAGTTAGTTTCATTCTTAATTAAAAAATATTATGAAGAATCAGTCACTTGAAAAACAAGGAAAAACTTTCTGAATTGAATCAAATGAATAATATTATCACCGGACACTTTCTGTTTACATTAAGATTCGAATGAATAACCTAACAAATATTAGCCCATAAGCAAAGATTTGTATGTGTGATAAAAATTATTTGAAAATCAAAGAATCTAGAATTAAACTCATAAAACATGAAAGATTTTTCGGTGAGACTATAATTTATAGACAACCTTTGAACGACGCTAAAATGACCTCGAAAGGAGTTATAAAGCAGTTTGACGAATAAGGATTATGATTTACATTTGACGGTTAGGGTTAGGAATTAGATTTAGAGTTTTCATCACGAACTTACATCAGCTATAATATCAAAACTCTACTTAGCTAAATGGTTGAGTGAATTTCGCGCTAAAATCTAAGACTTGTCGTAAATCTGATTGGTTAATCCATAAATTATAGTCTCTCCGTTTTTTCTTATTTTTCAGCAGAGTAAACTTGTAAGATAACGTCATGTGTAAATATATATGATACCTAATATAAATTTTAATGCATGAAAGAAATATGTAAATAATCTGATTAAATAGTAAATAGGTATTTAAAAAGTATGTCAAATGTTCTAATACTTATGAGCTGAAACGAAATATGATTTCAGTGATAATAGAAGACTTTTTTTTGACTTCAGTCCTTAAATTGGTTTCATAATTCGTTCAAGAAACAGTGTTGATGATGTTTTTATATGTAAATGAAGACGTTCAAAACAGCTAGCTGATCTGACTTATCAAGATGTTTTTACTTATTATTCAAGAAATTTTTTGACATAAACGTTAGGTGACCAATACAGAGAGTAAATGTAATTCAAGTAGAAACAATTAGTAAAATATAATCCAATAAGTTTCGTATACACAGGATTCTGGGAGCTTATCTATTTAAAGAAAACCCGGTTATTTTTTAGTCAACTTTTAAGGCTTGATCTTGACAGAGGAGACATTCATTAAAGACCTCACTTGTACCATACCAAGATATGTGTCTTCTGGAGTTGAAAATTTACACACTGCTCATAGATTTCGTCAAAAATCTTCAACTTTTGCGTGAAAATGTCTTAAGTTATGTGATTATAAACTGATGAATATTGTACAATACTGTGAAATCAATCTATGAATTACGAAATATTGCATTATTATAGGAAATACAATCGTAAACATTATTTATCACTGCATTTTCATTTCTACGTAAAATGGCATAAATCTCATTAAATACATACGTATATTGTAAAAAGAACTGAGAAAATACTTTTCAAATAACGTGGGAGGTTAGTAATTTTTAAAACAGGCCAACAACTAACCATGACGTTGCTAAAGATTCATAATACCTATGAGCACTTTGAGTGGTCTCATGAGGTCTACCAATCCTTACATACTTTTAAACAGGACTCTGTAGCAAGATAAAGATTCATGTAAGCCATAAGTTTTTTACCCATAGCTTATGACTATACACGGGTATCAAGGCACAAGTATTTAGAAAAATCTAGTATACCCATCACCAATTACTTATGTTTTTAACTTTGTATATCTTGATAATATTCAAACATTTTGTAGCTTTGATTAGTGTATTAATAAATAATAGTGGTTATGGTTGAATAAACCTATTTGAATAACAAAACTATGAATTAACAAACTGTTTAATGCAATCAAAAGTTATTAGTATTGAGATACTTAACTTTGTAAGTGCAGCATCATAATAATTTTGAAAGGAGATTTACTAAATTATTTTTACGAAATTAAAA